CCACCCCACACACACATGTGCCAGGGAGAGCCCGCATTCCATCGCGTTGCTTTTAGTGATTTCCCCCAGTTAGGGCTGTCGATCCCTTCCTTCTAACTTCCATCCACTAACTTTAGATTAATTTGCATTTATAGTGGCCTTTGAAAAGCATCAAGCGCTGCACAGATTTAGGTGGTATTTCTTTCCTTCCACATTCTAGAGTGTTCCCTGAACACTCCATACAGCGTCCTCTGCCAGTCCTGTACTCTCCAGTCTCTTGAGATTACTCACCAAACCGGTGTCCTTCACTTGCCTTATCCACCATCTTCAAGCATATCTTTAATTTAATATTTAAATAAAAGTAGAATCTCATCTCAGACTCTCCTTTCTTCTAGCATATGCCTACCACACACTCCTTACTTAGTATATTCCTTTTGTGTTCCAGCCTTTTCATTCATGTCAACTACGTTCTTTTCGTTTTCTGCATTTATCTGTATTTTTAAGTCTAAAATATGTCTACATACTCTTCATCTGTGTAAAGAAGCAATTTTCCTACTTAGCTCACAACCACAAAGCATGCTGTTCTACTCAAAGCTTTTTTTAAAGTTAATTTTAAAATAAAACTAATCATAAAAGCTTGAGCCAGGATGCACCACATTTTCTGTTAGGATCAAGCTCTTTTCTCTTTGTGTGTTCACTTTTTCTTTTCCAAGTATGTAAATAACCCCAGAAATCCTTCTGAGACTTCCTCAGGTCACACGGTTTTATTTGCTGAAAATGTTCCCTGAAGAAGGCTCTTGAGACCTATAGAACTTTAGGTCTACATTGAAATTTTTAGTGTTTGTTGACTAATACTGGTCTCACAGCATATGTGTTATTTTATCTTAGAGATCGTTTGGGGCAGAAAGGAGGTGAAAATAGATGGGTTTCAAAGATATTGATGACCTTTTGTTTTGTTAGAAAAAAGAAAAAGTAATTGAAGTGTATTATATTGATGGTAATGTATCTTTTCCCGAAGATGGGTGCAAGGATTCCCTAAGCAGAATGTTCATTTTGTCAACGACAATACCATTTGCTACCCTTGTGGGAATTATGTAATTTTTATTAATATTGAAACCAAGAAAAAGACTGTGCTCCAATGTATTAATGGAATTGTGGGCGTCCTGGCAACTAACATTCCCTATGAAGTTGTGGCTTTTTCTGACCGGAAGCTAAAACCCCTCATCTACATATACAGCTTTCCTGGACTGACCAGAAGGACCAAATTAAAAGGTATCCTCAAGGACTCTTCCTCTGCCATAACTGAAAGATTTGGTTATAAGATGTAACCAAATCTAGTCCTTATAAATGAAGGTGGTTTGTTTTTTGAAGGTTTTTTAAAAATATACAAATTTTTAAAAAATCAAACTGATCACTGAGGATTCAATTAAGTGGGCTAGAACCTTGCTACTCAAAGTATGGTCAGCTTACCAGCAACATTGGTGCTGCCTGGAAAGCTTGTTATAAATGCAGAAACTTGGCTTCTAACCCCAGACCTACTGCATCAGAAGCTGCATTTTAACAAGACTCTCCCAGTGATTCATATGCACATTAAACTTTGAGAAGCACTGGGCTAGAAGACTTTTACAGCACTAAATGCAGTTTAAAAACCTGTTTTCAGAATAATGATTTTTCTTTCTTTCCTAATGACTTATTGAAAATCCAGGTGCATTGATGTTTGTATAACTTATAAAGACAAGTCTCTGACCTTCAATTTCCTCATGTTTGAAATGGGGATAAAGGTAGCATCTAATATTAAGACTGTGGTGATGATAGATGAATACACACACACACACACACACATACACACATACACATATGTGTGTATATATACATACACGAAGTGCTCAATATTACCTACTATCTGAATTACTACTGACTCATTCATAGATGCAGCGGACCAGACTGGGCTGCTGCACATCTGCTGGAACCTCCATCTAACAATTACCTCATTTAACACGCCATGCACACAGAGCTCATGCTTGAGTCTGGTCTTAGTTCCATATCATTCTGGGTCAAATAAGTGTTTGGGTCAAGCCAGGGAACATCTCTGTAATTTATAACATTTTATTTGTGGGGAAATTTGTCTGTGTTCTCAAAAGATTAAGACAATTTTAAAAATATAATCCATCCACCCACTGGGAACTGTCTCTGTGGACTATAGCTACCCTTTCTTTAAACAATTTTCCCAGCTTAGTTATTTGGCTATAGCCCTGTCCAAGCAATTGCAAGTGAATTCAAACCAATCGTCAACATTCATATTAAATAATGAAACCCTAAAGGAATTCACAATAAAATTAGGAAAGTCAGCAAGGGTATCTGTTATTACCATTGCTATTTAAAATCAACCTGGAAGTTCTAGCCAATGCAACAAAATATGAAACTGAAAAAATGTATAGCTGAGTTAAAGCATATTACAGGTAACGCAATAGTCTGTGAGCTCATTAAAATGCTGGTTTCAAAATAAATACACATGTAATTAGATTTAAATATTCAGAAATAATCCAAAGAAGAAATGTGAGTGACCTAGATAAAGAAATCTACAAAAATCACTCGTTTAAAATATTTGAATATATACAGACATAGTCCTGGATGGAATTTCTGGTTATTATAAATAAATGTAGTTCTGATATTTGTCACAGAAAGTAATTCATAGGTTTATCATATGTTTTTAAGAGCAAGGAATACTTAAATGAAATAATTCCAAAGTTCATCTGGAAAAAAAACTAGATAGTGAGAATAATTTGAAAGAGAATCATGGCAAGGCAGGGGTCATTTTAACATTATGGTGGTACAGTAATTAGGAGTGTGGTATTGGTGTGGGGATCACCAGATCAGTGGAAGAATTGAAGAAGACTGGAGACAGAGTCTAGAGTATATTAGAGCTAAGTATATGATGAAAGAAGCTACCACAAACAAAAAAAAGATAATCTGAACAAAAGTATCGAGTTAGATACTCATACTGTACATCAAAACATTGCATGAAAACAAGCATTTACTATAAACAACAAACCCATTTGAAAAGTAGAAGAAAATAATGGTAGAATATTGAAATGATTTCAGGATGATGAAGAACTTTCCACACAAAGGAAAAAATTAAAAATAAATAGATTGATAGACTGTATTCGATTACAAACAAAACTTATGAACATCAAAAATACTATGAGAAATTAAAAAGCAAATAGTAAGTGGAGGAAAATATTTGGAATAAATATTATCAAATATTTTCAGACATTTATAAAACAATAAGAAAAAAGACAAATATCCTATTTGAACTTGGAAAAAGAACTTACCCAGACAAATTATAAAAGTGCAAGTGAACAAAGACATCAAAAACTGTTCCATTTCAATATTAATTTTAAAAAAGGTATCACCCAACGTGATATTTTTCTGCCTATCAAGGTCACAGTTTGTTTAAAGATCATAATCGCTAGGCAGAGTGCAGTGAAATTGGTAGCACGCTTTTTTGCTGAAGGTGAGAGTATAAGTGTATATAATTTTCCCGAGAAGTATTTACTCTCTTTTATCCAGAATACCCACTTCAAAACATAGAATTTTAAGGAAATAATCAGAAATATGGTCAAAGATTTGTGTGCAAAGGAGTGAAAAGCACTGTTACAACAGCAAAAGACTGGAAACAGCCTATATCTTCAATATTATAGATTTAGTTAAATAACTTAAAATACCCCATAAAAGGGTATTATGCAAATGTTAAAAATCACATTTTTGAGGAAATATTAAGAGAATGATAAAATGCCCAATATAATATAAACGAAAAACCAATAGGACAGCTCAGCTGGTTAGCACATGTTGCCCCTAACACCATGGTCCAGAGTTCAGTCCCTGTACTAGCGATCAGCTGCCAAAAAAAAAAAGAAAATACCCGAAAGAAATTTATCAAATTTGATGGTAGGATTACTGAGGATATATTTTTCTTTTCATGATTTTTGAGGGTATTTCCTTCAAAAACTACATTTTTTTAATTTAAAATAAATGTAAAGAAAATATAAAATTAATAATCTTCAATTATGGGGTGAAATGTCTGTATAGCAAGAATAGAAAATCATTCTATTAAGGCCTCATCCCACCGAAAAATTATTTTTATTTTTGCATTGAATGCTCCATAAATACATGGGGTTTTTGTTGTTGTTGTTGATTACACTATGCTAAATAAATTCAATAAATGACAAAGTCACATTTTAGGGTTATATTATAGTCAATTAAAGTGCAAAGATTAAAAAGCAGGAGACAGAGCCCTTAAAAATAACAGAACAAATAACAGAGATGTGAATGTGAAAAGGCAAACCTCGGAGAAAGCAAAGCTTGCTGCTACAGAACCACACTGAAAACAGTGGCTAAAAGAGAGGGAAAGCCAGGCCCCCCTGTACAGGGAAGCAGAGACAGACACTTCTCTGTTTTAGCATCCTCATGATATGCATTTTAAACATGTTGTTGCTAAGACATTTAAAATTATGTTGCATTTCTTCAACTATGGGTACAAATGAGAGTAGAACTTTCTAGAATTGTTCCAAGAGCTGAGAGATACTAAGATAAGGGACAGATACCGCCTAAGGTATAGAGATAAGGAAATGAGCTAGAAATATTACAGCTCCCCAAGGTATTTAAAGTTTGAATAACTGTGCTGATTACAATGTCTCCTGTTTATGTGATATCTTATGGTTCTTGGGTCATTTAAGTCATGCTGGGACATACGTGGTGTGGTATACTCAGTTCTGCATTGAAATCTAGAGACAGTGACTTAATGATCTTAATTTACTCTAATATCTTTTTAAAATCGACCTTGATTTTGCTCTTAGTTTTCTGTTGATAGTCTTAGAAATAGCCCCAGGAGATCTCTTATTCTAATAGCTAAATGCTTTTGGTTCTGTGAAAATTATTAGAAAAGGGAAATAAACAGTAAGACTATATATAATTAATCTGAACATTATAATTAAATCCTTGTAATGGATTTTACATTTCAGGCAACGTTCTCCTGGACTACACTTTACTTGCATTCAGTTACTGTGGTACCTACCTGGCTAGTTATTCCTCTCTCCCAGAATTTGAACTAGCTCTTTGGTAAGTTTCAGCATCCTGCAGAATTCCTTTTACTATGTTACATTTTAATCTTATCCTTCTGGATTTTATCAAAGGAAATATATGTGAAAAATCTGAAACGAGGAAAAATGGAAGGAATAAAAATACTAATCTTAAGGTTTAATATAGTTGCTATATTTAGGCATAAACTGTACGAGAGCTAAATTAAGTATTGTCTTTTTTTATTAACGTGCTGTAATGTTTCCTTTGTCAAGTAAAGAATACACTTATAAATGCATAAAGTTTCATCTTTTCTTGATATGGAGCTATTTATAGAGTTAGTGTGCATGTTTTCTACTAATGCTGAAATTAGATGGTCTCTATATTAGAGCTCAGTTTGAAGTAATTGTTTTTAGAGACATTAGAGCAATTTCATGTTTAGAGAGTGGAACGTTATACCACATTTACCAGCTACATAGGAGATACCTGTGCATGAGATACGTCTGTCCTTTGCTGGGTCATTTTATGTGTCCAACTTCAAGGCTGCATTCATTCTTCCATCCATGATATAAACCCCTTCAGGGGTAAATTTGTCTCATTAAGGGAAAAATGTTCCAGGAGTGACTGAGGATACTCCTTACATACCAGCATTTCTTAAACAAAAATGTAATAATCAAGGTTCAGAGAGCCACATTTAGTTTAGGAGTCTTTTTTTTTCTTTAACAGCTTTTTTAAGGTATAAATGATATATAATAAACTGCTCATATATAAAGTGTACAATTTGACAAGTTCCAGCTTACGTGTACACCCATGAAACCATCACCATAATCAAGATAATGAATATACTCATCACCCCCAAAAGTTTCTTTGTGCCCTTTCACATCCTCCTTATTGGCCCTTGCCACGCATACCGTTGGCCCACCCCTGCCCTGCCCCAGGCAACTGCTGATGTGATTTCTGTCAGTCTAGATTAGTTTGCATTTTCTAGAATTTCATATACAGGGAGTCATACAGTGCATATATATATTTTTTAAGTCTGGCTTCTTTCATGCAGCATAATTATTTTTGAAATTCTCTTATGCTGCTGTGTGTATCAATAGTTGCTTCTCTCTGTTCCCCAGTAGGGCTCTGCCACAGTTTTTCTAGCCACCTGTTTGTTACTGTTTCCTAGGGCTGCTTCCGTGAAGTGCCCCAGACTGAGTTGCTTAAACAACAGAAGCTATCCTCTCACAGTTCTGGACACACAGGCAGGAAGCAGCCGGGGAGGGGAAGAGAAGCACTTAATTCTGATAGTGCCAAAAGCCAAAGGCTCTGTTTGTCTTTCAGAAGGGCAGCCTTTGAATATTAAAAATAGCAGCAAAGTAGAATGAGCACAGACATTTTAGTGTAACACAAGTAGGTCTGAGTCTTGGCTCCACGAATCACTAGCTGTGTGATCTTGGAGTCTGAGCCTCAGTTTCCTCCTCTGTGAAATGGACTTAATATCTCCTAAATATGGTTTTTCTAAGAATTCATTGAGCAAAAGTATACACAATACTTAACAGTGCCTATTATGTAGTATTTATTTATTTAAGTCAAAGGTTCGAAATTGATGATCATTAGGATAATTCCAGGCCACAGATGTGTTTTCTTTGGGCCATAAGTTATTTTTAAATTGGGAAAACTTAGAGAAAAAATTATCTGGCTCTTTATCGAAAGAGTTTGCCAACCTCTGACCTAGAAGTGTATTTTCAGGACATTTCATTCATTTACATTAACTTCCTGGCCACTATAGGCATTTGAGTTTGTTCACTGGATTTAATTCATTTAATTCAGTACATTTTTTTCCCCTACTTCTTGCTGGATTTAAAATGTTTCTCTTAGGCTTCTTACAGCCTGGTGGGGAAGTCTGAGACTTCTGTAACAGGGCATTTTTGATAGACTGAGGTGAAGGCAAGACTAGGGGCAGACAGTACCTCCTCCCACCCCAGCCCTTCCCCTGTATTTGTTTGCATGCCTTAATATTCATGGCGTTTCTATCTAGGAAGTTTGGGTTGGAGGGGAGGGAGAAGAGAGCAGGGGTGAGGAGAGCAGAGGAGGACAGGCAGACACTGTGGGGAGGACCAGAAACGAATCTCCTGTGAAGAGGCTCTGCGCAGGCAGAGGTGCCCGGGGCCCGTGAATGAGTATGAACAGTGCCAAGGAACAGACCCTCCTCCAGGCTTCTGCGCTGGCACTCAAGGTTGGGAAGCTCTGGGAGCAGCCCTAATGGCATGCTTGGGTGCTGTATATCAAGTGTGAGTGGGGATGTGTGCCATGATGGGAGCCACCAGCATGAGGCTTCACCATGTGGCTTTGCCAGCAGGGGTCCTGGACAAGAGCGAGCTGGGAGATGAACAGAGAGGAGGAAGCAAGTTGGTGGTGGCAGCTAGTCTGTGGGCCCTGTGGAGGCAGCCCCTGGGGATTTCCAGAACTGGAAGTCAGACTAGCAGGGACTCATGTGCCAAGATACAACTCCTGGAAGTAAATGTATCCAAGGGGACTTTACCTTTGTGTTCTAATGTTTTGTTGTTTTGGGCCAATTGCCAGTATTGGGATCCAAACGCTTGACCTTAGTGTTATCAGCACCATGGTCTACCAAGTGAGCTAACCAACCAGCCCCTGAGTTCTAATGCTTTAAAAGAGCAGAATGGATTAACATATTTTGTGTGTAATTAAAAATAATTATTTTGGGGGCTGGCCAGTGGCTCACTCAGGAGAGTGCCGTGCTGATAACACCAAGGCCACGGGTTCGGATCCTATATAGGGATGGCCGGTTAGCTCACTGGTTGAGCATGGTGCTGACAACACCAAGCCAAGGGTTAAGATCCCCTTACCGGTCATCTTTTAAAAAAAAATTATTATTATTATTATTATTATTTTGAGAAAAACATTTTAAACTGAGGAGAAGTGGCCTCATACTTGTAGTCCCAGACTGGTGGGGTCTGGGACATTTGGGGTCCATCAACAAAGATAATAAGGGAGGCTAATTGCTATGCACCAGCTAATCACCACTAACACCAGTTTCATCAGGGGGACATTTGTTGAGATTTCCAATGGGTCAGGCCATTTAATCTCCACAAAAAACCCATGAGACATTGTGATGGTCTTCATTTTAAAGAAAAAAACAAGCTGAGAAGTTAGATGTTAAAGCAGAATTTTCAAGCAGATCGTGAGCATGCAGGGAAGTTTTATATAACTCCATAATAATGGAACACAAATCAAAGCCGATTTCTGTTTTAGTCCATTCAGGTTGCTATAACAAAATACTGTAGACTGGGTAAACAGTCTACATTATAAACAGTCTACAAATAAACAGCAGACATTTATTTCTCACAGTTCTGGGCCAAAATCAAGCCCTGGCAGTTTCAGTGTCTGGTGAGGGCTCACTTCGTGGTTGACAGATGGTGTCTTCTTGCTGTGTGCTCACATGGTGGAAGGGGCACACTATCTCTCTGGGGTCTCTTTTGTAAGGGCACTAATTCCAGGCATGAGGGCTCTACCCTCATAACCTAATCACCCTGCCAAAGGCCCCACCTCTTAATACCATCACCTTGGGAGTTAGCATTTCAATATAGGAATTTGGGGGAGACACAAACATTCAGACCATAGCAGCTCCTGAGTGCTTAAAGAACACACACACATACACACACACAGGATTAGAAAAAGAAAGGGCTAAATAAAATTCCTAGGTTTTTTTCTAGGTTGGATACAAGAATGGTTAACTTTCCAGAGGTCTGTAAAACAATAGCACCTTTTTGGGGGGTTATTTATTTATTATATATTTTTTTACATTCTAAGATGTTGTTGGGGAGCAGTTGAGGGGAGAGGACAAGGAGGAAGGAAATAGGGTGGGAGAAGGAGGAAGGAGGGGGGTGTGGTTGAGGCCCATGGCAGCCCCCTCATTCCTGCAGGGGAGACCAAGGGGCTTCCAGCGGTAGCTCCATCATTGCTGGGCTGGATGCAGATGTCAGGGGGGTGCGGCTGAAGCCTTCAGCCCCTCACTGCTCTGGTTGGGGAGACCAAGGGGCTTCCAGCAGTGGCTTGGTGGTTGTTGCTGGGCTGGTTGTGGGTGTTATGGGGCATGAATGAGACCCACCAGCCCTTCCTGCACCCTGGTTTGGGAGCCCAGGGTCTCCCAGTCCTTCTAGGTTTTATAGGTGTTCTTTGTTGATGTGAGACCTTTCCTAGTTAATATCAAACTGTCCCTGATCTGTGGATATTTTGTTTTTTCTTTCAGTTCTGTGTTGGATTATTTGCTATTCCCATCACTTAAACTCTGCACTGGAACTAATTTGTTGTCCTTCTATAATGGAGGAACTTCCTGTGGGGACCAGCACTTGAGCCCTGTGGTTAAGCTAAATTGCTGCTTTGCTGCTGGTTCCCTGGGGAAGTCTTTATGTGCAGCTCAGGTTTTAATTGTTGACCATGTATGTACTTCCGGGTTTGTGAGTTCCAGTACACCTGGGTTGTGTGGAAACTCTGGTCTAGGCCTGAGTCTTTTCAGCAAACTGTACCACATGCAATTCTATATTCCTGACCAGTCTCCACTGAGTGGTCCTGTGCTGATTGGGGATCAGATCAGCTGTCCATGCTGTGCCCCAATGTTCCCCCAATGGGCCTGTCTCCCTGACTGCCCATACTGAAAACACTTCCCATGGGGCAGGCCATGTGCTAGTCCCTTGTGATGACTCACTGGCCTCTGAGTGGCTCTTTTTTTCAGTGTCCTCATTCCTGTGTGGGTTCACAGGAACTCTGTTAGTGGTCTTACTGACCTGAGGCCTTCTTCTCCACTGTTGCCTTCAAGCAACTTCATAGGAAGGGCACAACTGTGGCTTTTGCTGGCTCTTGCTCTGTGAGCTCAGCAGCTCCAGCCTGGAAGCTTCTGGGGCTCAAAATGGTCAGAGCGGTCCTTTCTTTCTCTCATCGTGGCTTCTCCCACCTTCATGCACTCCATAGCGCTCTCCTCCTCCTCCCCTGAGCTCTAGAGGCCCCAGCTTGGCTGTCATTGCTTTTTAATAGTTGTAAATAGTTTGATTTGTGGGAGAGAGTGATGCTGGGGACCATCTTGACTGGAAGCCTCCACAGCACCTTAAACTTCACCATTCTACCAGGCAGTATAATCATAGCATCTTATCTGTTCTGGAGATAACCTCTAACCTATAAAATCATGCCTGCCTTTATCACACAGGGACTGTTAATTAGTATACTATGTCAGCAAAATCACATTCCCCAGAAGAATCAGATAGGGGTCAAAGCAAGATACAAAGTCCATTTCTCGTTCAAAGGCCATTTCTTGGTGGAAAATGCTTTCCAGCATGACATGAGAAATCACGCCAGCACAATTTTGCTGTTTTCCAAGTTTGAATTTTTTTCTCATAAACTACTTACCTAAACTTATATAGTTGGCGAATTTCTGAGTGGGGTTTAAACCCATAGGGGTCTGAGCTCTCTTACAGCTTCCAGTGATCTAAGGTACAGTGGGAACATGTAGTAGGGACACCTCATCTAGTCTGAGAGTGGAGCGGGGTGATCAGGGAAGGCTTCCTGGGCAGGGGAGATAACATTTAACTTGATACCTGTGTTAGTTTTCTAGGCCTGCCATAACAATGTACCACAAACTAAGTAGCTCAAACAACAGAAATGTGCTTGTATCATCTCCCAGTTCTGGAGGCTAGAATTCTAAGATCAAGGTGGCAGCAGTGTTGGTTCCTTCTGAGAGCTGTGAGAGAGGATCTGTTCCATGCCTCTCACCAGCTTCTGCTGGTTTGCTGGCAAGCTTGGTGTTCCTCAGCTTATAAAAGCATCACCCAGATCTCTGCCTTCATCTTCACATAGCGTTCTCCCTATGTGTGTGTCTGTCTCCAAATGTCCCCTTCTGAAAGGACACCAGTCATATTGGATTAAGGCCCACCCTAATGACCTCATTTTAACTTGATTACTTCTATAATACCCTATTTCTAAATAAGGTCACATTCTGAAGAACTGGGGGTTAGGACATCAACATATGAATTTTGGGGTAGAGGGAGACACACAATTCAACCCACAGCAATACCTAAAGGATGTGTAGGGATCAGCTTTGTGAAGTGAAGGAAGAGGATCCCAAGCAGGGAATGGCACATACAAAGGCCATGAGGTCAGAGGAAACATGACAGGTTTTAACTGAAAGATCATACGGTGGGAGTAAGAGATTAGCCATGAGAGAAGCAAGCCTGGGGGGACAGCCTAAGGCCAGCTCATGAGCAGCCTTATTAGGAGGTGACCACATAGTTTATTGTCCAAATTAGGATACTTTTGAGAGTGACAGGGATGATTATTAATAATTAATACAGAACAACAGGCTTAAACTGGAGTTTCTCCTGGGCATACTGGGAAAGATCCTCACCCTACATATAAGCCATGCTGATGGGCACACCTTTTATCCTAAAGGCAGTGGGAAGCTATTAAAGGGTTTTAAGCAGGGATGTGACATGATCGTATCTGCATTTAAGATGACAACTTCCAACTGTATTGTGGAAGGTATGTTAGGGGAAACAAGGCACAAACATCAATTAGGAGACTGTGGTGGTCCAGGCAGGAGATAACTGTGGCAAGGATGGGTGGGTGTAGGGTCAGAGAGAAGTGGCCCTGTGTGGAAGACTTTAGTGGGTAGAACCATGGAACTTGGCGACTGACTGAATATTGGGTATGGTGTCGACGGAGAGGGAGGGGTTGAGAGCTATACCCAGAGTTGTGACTTGGACAACTTGGAGACATTGTGGTGCTATTCAAAAATATATTGAGGACATGGGAGGAGGGAAGTCAGGAGGCAGTGGAGGAAGCTGAGTTGGGGGCACCCTGGATTAAGGATATTTACATGTCTAGCTGGCAGATGATATATCCATTAGGGTTTAGGGTCAGTTGCTGTCACAGAAACCCAAATTGCCAACAGAAGTTTATTTCTTTCACATGCAGTAGTCTGGATACGAGCAGCCCATGGGTGGTATGGTGGCTCCTCTGTGCCAGCAGGCAGTCCCCACTATCTTGCTCTGCCATTCCTAGGGTGTTGCCCTCACCTCTAGTGTAAAATGGTGCTCCACCCTTGTATTTCAGGAAGCCAGTGGGAAGGGGAAGGAGGAGGGGACAGCACAAACCTGTTGAAATACACAGCGTGGAAGTTGCACGCACCACTGCCGCTTACATCCCATTGGCCAGTTCAGCCACAAGCCAAGTGTAGCTACAAGACATGCTGGGAAATACGGTCCTCACTGTGGTGACCATGTGCCTGGCCGACAACCAGGGGTTCTGTTACTCAGAGGGAGAAATGGAGACCAGATATGCCTCTGCCACAGACATCTAGGAGCTCAGGAGAGAGGGCTGGAGATCAACATTTGGGAGTAGTTAAATCAAACTGACAATCAAAGTGCTAAAAGTAGATAAGAACACCTAAGGAGAAACCTAGGATGAACCTAGAGGAACACCAGTGGAAAGGACTGAACAAAGAGGAACCTGCATAGCAGACTCAGGAGGAGGAGCCATGGAAGGAGGCGGAACAGGTGGGGAGGGTGCAGAATATGCCTCAGCCTGGGCTCCACGGAAAACAGAGTCTGAGGCAAAAGCTCAGGAACCTTTCCCGAACAGGGAGCGTGATCCCAGGGAAGGAGGCAGGGAAAGAGCAGAGCCAATATGAGGGTGTATTGCTTTGCCAGCCACCAGTGGACTCCAAGTGCCATTGATTGCTCCATCTAGAAGGGGGTGTTCAGAGTGGCTGTATGAACTCCTGTGAATATGGATAGTCCTCAGGCATGGACAGGGGAGGGGAGAGGAGCAGACAAGAACTTACCCATCAACTCCTGCATCCCGTCGATCAAAGCTTCATAGCGTGGGGTGTTAACTCCTCTGCACTTTCACATTTATTGTGACCTCCTGCATCTTATGGCCAGGGCTAAAGGGAAGCCAGGGCATATGAAGCAGGTGTGAAAGGAGGCCCAGGTAGGGTGTACCCACCTGAAATCAGTCACACCCACACACAGTCAGACAACCAAAGAGTAAGCTAGGCAGAAGAGGTGGCCAAGGCCCCAGACACAATTGAGGTTGAGAGGATTCGAGGTGTCCCCTAAGAAGCATGTGACAGAGGGTCCAGGGGTGATTCCAGAAGGCGGGTGTGGTGAGCATCATCAAATCCTGCAGAGGTGAAGTCAAATAAGGACTGAGAAGTGCCTGTTGGATTTAGGGTATAGGCAGATAAATGTGGATCTTGGAGAGAGCTGTATCAACGCAATGTTGCTGACAGGATGCAGATACCCTGGGATGAGGGGAGAGAGGGAGGAAGCAGAGGCAGAGCGTTTACAGCTCGCTCAAGCTTGGCTCCAATGGGAAGGAGAGAGACCTGGAAGGGTGAGGTTACGGAAAGGCTTTTTTTAAAAGGTGATATAGATGAGCACTTAGGTGTTGACAAGAACGAGTCAGGGGAGAGGGAGGGTCTGAAGATGCAGAAGAGAAGGAATTACGAATAAACTAATATTCCTAAGAAGGCAACACCTGTAGGCTCCAGAGCAAAGGTGGTGAAATCAGCCTTAGGTAGGAGGAAGGACATGCCTTCCACTGTAACGAGAGGAGGAGACACCCTAAGAGGGAGTTCACCTTGACAGCAGCAATTTGGGGGAATTCTCAGCTGATGGCCTCTATTTTCTTCCTGGGAATCATGGCCATTTACTAAGATCAAGAAGGAGATGGAGGGGTTAGAGGCTTCAGGAGAGTGCAGAATATTAAAAACGGCCACTCTGGAGAACAGGAGAGAGAACTGACTGCAGAAACAGAGCGGGATTGGAGGTGGTATCAAGGGCCTGTTGGGACAGTCACTGTGAATCTGTAGTGTCACTGACACACATGGTCCTGTGATCTTTGTTACTATGTCCCTAGCAGCCCAAGCTTTCAGTTGTATCCATCCAGGTTGACAGTTTTTGCCAGGTATCTGAGGCAGAAAGTCAAGGGACCAAGGGAACCAGAGAGAACAGCAAGAGAGGGGTTGATGGGATGAATGGCGCACCTGTGATGGGGATAGTGTGAGGAGGAGGGAGCTGAAGACGAGGCGAGCTCTGTCAATACTAGTTCCCGTTTCCCAGTCACAACTCTGAATGCAGTACTGCTCCTCGTAGGGGGCATAGCTCACTTTTATTTATTTTTCTTTCCTTTCATCTAGCAAAGGACCTTGTTCATGACAGGGGTTCAGGACATTCTCTCAAATGGGTAAATGAATGAATCTATTGTAAAATACTACCACTTTGATTTTTTAAAACTCAGTAAATGATTAATTGGTATCGATGATTACAGTGCGCCCAGGTCCACATGGATTACTCATACGTAATACTTAGAGATTTAGATACCTGCCCCTGTTTTTCAGCAAATGGGATGATATATTCCATTTTCTAGGTTTGACTGGGTTCAATTCAAATTTAATAAAAAGAATAAAATAGCCTTGATATAGCATATGACAGTGTTATATTTTTTAAATATATAGTTATTTTATTTTCTTAGAAGGATGCAGCATAATGATAAGCATAATTATTTATAAATTTGTCATTAATGTCATATATTATATGAATTGTACCATAAATTATGTCTCAATTCATGTAACTTGTTTCAAAATAATTAGATAAATGTTCTCAAGATGTGAAATTTAAATACATTATTTTTTTCATCAAATACTATCTTCCTCTAAGGAACTGGGAATCAAATGTCATTTTGTGCAAGAAATCACAGCCTGGTATGGACATGAACCAGATGTCTTTTAACCCCATGAACTGGCACCAGCTATGCTTATCAAGTTCAAGTACAGTGAGCGTGTGGACCATTGAAAGAAGTAACCAGGAGCATCATTTCAAATCAAAGTAGGATGCTTTGTTATGACACAGCAACAAAGTGGTGGCCTTCATTTGCATTTATGTAATGTGATTCAGTCAATTTGATGAATTAAGTGGCTTTATACATACACATACACATATGGCTTATCTTGAGTTATGACATCTTTCTACACACATGATTACCTTGGAGTGGTTGTTTGCATTTCAAAAGGATTCTCTATGACTTGATTTCTCAATGAGTTTCTTTTAAATATCAAGTCCTCTGAGAGCTTTTCCCAACATGGTTTAATTTTCCAAAATTTGATTTGCTCTTACTATTTCAAAGCATACCTATTGTATAAAAATGATGGTTATGACTTTTTGCTCCTATTACTTTGATGATCTACTGAAATCTCAAAAAGAAGAAACTGTTAGATATAGAAAGTGTACGGATTATACATTCAATCACATTACCCATAAACAGAAAGGTAGTTGAGTATAGTGGAGTCATGGGAGTTACCTGTTTAAATAGAACTGGCTCAAAGAGAAATTCTATGACAAATGCCCCAGTGATAGTTGGTGATAATGGGTGCCTTTGTTGAGAAAAAGTTCAAAGACTCCAGGTGCCACTTAGCTGACCATTTTTAGCATACTCCACCAAGTCAAAGACCAAGAGATGTTGGTCATGCATACCCTTGATATTGCAATTTTTGAAAAATCGCCTTGAGAGAAATGTAAAGCTAGTAAATAAAGTTTTCAAAATGGAGAGCTCTGTGAGAGGTACTTCTTTCTGCTTGGCACTCTTTATGTCTTGGTTTCATTTTTACAAGAACCCATTGAGTAGCCAATTCAGTCTCTAGTCAGAGTTGACAACACCATACCTTTTAAGAAAGTGCCTAGCTCTATCTGATTATTGTCAGGGCAAACAAGAAATTTGTCACTCCTTTTTCTCCCTTTGCTTCCCCTGGATATTCTACTGTACTTCTGAATGTTGAGTTGTGATTTTTTTCTATAAGCAAATAAAGTGGGGAAAAAAATGGGTGGATTGTCCTGTTTCATAAAACAAGCAGGGCCTGAGAACACTTAAGCTTTACATAAGAGTAGGAAGTACTGTTTTTATGTGATCACCTTTCAAAATTATTTATCGTTCATAAAATTTAAACCAAGGAAGTTTAAAATTTAATGCATGAGGCCATGAATTCATCAAACTCACCTTTATAACCAAATTATGTGTTAAAAGTAGATATATGGTAAATTTGAAAATAAATGCTTGATATCAGAGGCTACAAAGTTAGCTGAATATAGCTTACATATATGTTTATTTTGGCCCACAGTGTTTTTTACTTGAATTAGTTGCCAACATTTAAGATTTGAGAGATTTCTCATAAATATCCAGATTATGGTATTCTCTTGAAATTTTAGAACCAGATTTCTCACATCAACAACTCTCTAGGCTGGATTTGAGCGGCATCTGCCACCTTTACAAGGGACAAACACTTTCCTATTTTCCAAATCCCCACCAGCCACATATCACCTTCCTGATCACCATCAGTATTCAAATATTCAATTCTTGCTTTACATATTTGAAAAATTTTGATAATCCCTATATACTTAATTTATAACTTTGCATAGCTTGTCCTTTTATGATGTATATTGTTAAATCTACCATTTGGCTTTTATCTTTTTATAGTACCTCCCCACCTCGCTTACTGCTGATACTCAGTGGTTGCATTAGTGATTAGTCTCTGTTAATCTGACTGTTCTGATGTCTCTTTTTTCTACAGGTTGATACAACTGCCTCTAGAAGATGGGACATTTTTTAATGAAACAGATGTAATTTTCCCCCCCTCGTTGCCCAAGGATCCCATTTATGGTCCTGTGATGCCACTGTCAGCCATTGCCGGGCTAGTAGGTGAAGAGGCAGAAACTTTCAGGGTAATTACCTGGCACCTCTTTCTGTTTGCCTAATGGGATGAGGTCTAGGAAGTGTGATCTCATTTTATTGTCATAAGCATCCCATGAGATATGCAGGATAGAGAGGATCATCCTGGTTTTTGATACAGGTTAGCTATGGAAACCACAAAAGACAAAGACACTGGAGTTTTGAGTTTGATAACTGGGAAGATGATAGCTCTGCTAACAGAAATGGAACCCAGATGTGATTTCACTTTTTGACATTTTGAATTTGGGGTGCAGGGAGGACATCCAGGTGGAGATGCTGGGTGGAAATTAGCAAAGTGGACCTAGTGTCAGTAAGGAGAAGTCAGGGCTGGAGACACAGGTGTCAGTGTCATTCACAGATAGCAGAGTGGGAGCAGAGAGAAGGGGGTGTGATGAGCAGAGAGAGGAAGGGTGCCAGGGAAGAAGAGAGAACCCAAGGGGAAGCTGACTGCCTGAAGTCGGGAGGAGAACGAGGAGTCGGAGACAGCACAGCCATAGAAGTAGGAGCAAATCCAGCAGAGAAAAACGAGGCCATAGAAAACAGTCAAAGAAAGTTTCAAAAGGGAGCATTAGTTAACAGTTACACACTCATTCATTCATTAATTCACTCAACAGATACTTATCAAATTCCTTCTATGCAGCAGACAGTGTTTTAGGCAATAGGACTCACGTGGTGACCAACCAGGCATAAACTTCATGGAGTCTGTGTTGTCAGAGAGAGAACAGCAACAAAAGTAAAAATACATTAAATTATGGCAAAATTTGATCGTTGCTATAACGGAATAAATGTGGGTGGAGGAAGCAAGGAAGAGATTAACATGGTGCTCAAGGAAGGCCTTTGGGGAAATGACACTTAAGCTGAGACTTGAAGGACCAGGAAGCATTATTCATGTTACAAGCAGGGAAAAGAGTGTTTCTGGTGGAAAGAACCACATGTGCAAAGGCCCTGGGGGAAGAAGAGAACTTGGTATGTTTGAGGAACTGAAAAAAGATCCATAGATAAATGAGGGGAATGTGAGGTGCAGGGTGATGTACACGAGGGAGGCAGGAGACAAGGATAGCATATGCAAGGCCTTTGGGATGAAGTTAAGAAGCTTCACTCTTCCAAGCCTCTCCTACCGGTGTTATGCTGATAATTGTGTTAAGTTCCAGGCAGAAGATAGACAAGGCAGAGTTTCCCAAATGTTTTTGACTTCTGCAGAGAATTAAGCTATGAATGTTAAAAATAATTCAGTGTGAGAATCAGTTGATTAAAAAAAAATCTCTGTGGCAAGCAAAGATTGCATGTCCTTAGTATTTCCTCTAATGAATGACAGTGATTCACTTTTTTAAATTACAGAAAATGACCGATTTCTTTTGTAGCACAGGTCTTAGCTTTGGAAATCTAACTACACTCAGCCACAGTGGGGCAGCAAAGTAATAATAAATAGGTCAGCCACCAAGAACTGCAATTTGAAAGAATGTTTCTATGTTTAGTACTTAGAGCCTAGAACCCTCAAATTTCAACTATCTCAAATCTTTTTCTGAGGTAAATTTCTGCAAGAGACCTCATCTTTCACATTTTACACCAACATGGGCCTGCCCCATGGCTCACTCAGGAGAGTGCAGCGCTGGTAGTGCCAAGGCCTCGGGTTCGGATCTTATATAGGGATGGCCGGTTCGCTCGCTGGCTGAGCGTGGTGCAAACATTTTACACCAACATGATGTACCCTACAAAAAACATTTAAAATTCAGGCAATTGTCCTTGTCATTTGAAAAATGCTGCTATGAAATGACTTCTTTAAATACTTAAATGTGGAGTTATTTTTTAAAATGCTCATAATATATATACATCTTTATTTTCTAGGACTTTTGCATTCAGTGCATTTTAACCATTTTCTGAAGGCAGAAATTTAATGTTATGGTTTGACATCTCTAAATCATACAGGGGATATTAATAAAGTCACATACTTTGCATTATACAAATTAATTTTCCCAGTAGTTTACTTTTTCATTTTATAGCTAAATAAGGTGAAGAGAATGGCTAAAACATTAATTAATGTCTGTACAATGAGTGAAAGCATAAGCAAAAGTAGATCTCAAATGTCTTGGTTCCATTCCTTCCTTTGACTGTCATTTTTTGTGACCTGGGTACCAATGGCAAAGAAATCAGTAATGATTTGATCTATTTAAGAGTCTTAAAAATTGGCAAGCTGTGGAATTTTACAAAATTACAAACATTAAATAGTCTCACTATCTTTCTTGTGGCTAACACTAGAAGGGCACACACAGGCCTTTAAATAGGTCTGAGTCACATTACACAACTTATTTAGGGCATTAGAAACGTATCCTGATGTCACATGGGGAAAATCAAAAGCAGATGTTATCTGGGAAGAAATTGGATCCAAGATAACGAATTTAATCTCAAGTATCCAGTTTCCTTTTGCCACCTAACTTTAAAAAAAAAAAAAAAAAACAGAAGTTGCTAAATAGGAATCTCTATTGTAAACTCAAATATTCAGAAACATATTTGGATTTTTACATTTTCTAAAGCAGAGTAAAGCTGGGCTCCAGTTTTTCATGTTTGGTTTTCAAGTGATCAAAATGTTTGATTTATGATTCCAGAGGACTGAAAAAGGAGGTAGTATTATCAACAAATATTTTAGAACATCATTGACACCTTTTCCTTCTTTCTTTCTTTCTTTCTTTCTTTCTTTCTTTCTTTCTTTCTTTCTTTCTTTCTTTCTTTCTTTCTTTCTTTCTTTCTTTCTACACCTTTTCTTTTAAAACTCAGAATTTTCAGAATTGAAGCAGATAGGTGGGGTTTTGTTTTGTTTTTTGTTGTTTTGTTTGATTCAATATTAATACTTGAAAGTACAAATATAAATTAAATGAGGTTCAACAGACTTCATAACACATACAATAAAATAGACTATAAAACAAAGATAATTTGAAAGGGATTGTTCAGTTTACTTTGTAGTGTTAATTTTTTTATACTGAAAATTTTAAAACAGTACACGTTTTCTGGATCATACATGGAAGTTCACATCCAGATGTCAAATTCTCATTCTTTCTTCATTGTCAAAAATCTTAATTTTCACTCCTGGCTAGATTTTTCTTCCTTGGCAATTATTTTTGTTATGCCACTAAAGTATTTCTCACAGAAGGAATTATGACCTTGATATGGCAGAAAATGATCACTTAGCAGATGTGAATACTGGTTCTGGTTCTCAAATTTCTTCACCTTTTCCATTGTGATCAAGCGCTTTGATGTGTGAGTGGAAAGCTTCTGCTCACGGGTGCTAATGAGTTTCAGGCATGGGTGCCAGGGCACCATCTCTTCAGTGTATTCTGGTATATATACTGGTAACCAATAGACTAGTTTTCCATCTAGTATGAAGGTCTCAGCTGCAAAGTTTAACAGGTCAAAAAACATATCACTGTGAATGATAACTCAAGGAAACTGGAGTGTAGCTTTCCGGACATTTTTCTATCCCTTTTGGTATTTCCTTCTGTGAACCTGTTCTTCTTGTAGATTCTCTGATTCCATACAGATGATCAGTTATGATTGCATCAAAATGAATGCCCTTCCTCCAGGTAGGTTTAGGTGCATCTTAAACCAGGACATCAAGGTAATACTTCTCTAAACCATATTGATGAAGATTTGCCCGAATGTTTTCATCTGGTCCTCTCCATTTCTGATTTTTCCAACTAGCCTTTCCCCAAGCCATGAACTATGTTGTAGTCTATGTCTCTGCACAAAAAAGAGCAGATGGTGTCAAGAGGCCACCTGTTCCAACAAACAGATCAAAGATATTATCATTTTCTTTCACTTTTCCATGGTTGGCCATGGTGAATGATAAACCAGCATCCATTCTTTTATTTCCAAGATAGTGTCTCTTTTTGACAGTATATGATTCAATATGCTCTCTCTGTCCATCTGCAATCCACTTATAGCCTCAAGGGAGTGGGCAGAACTGCTGTATAGTAGTTGCATTTATTTTCAGAGTGGTAGACCTACATTGGTTACCTTCACAATTGAAATCCCTCAACTATCACAGCACTCTGCCTTTTTTCTGTTTTATTAAAAAAGCAGTCCAGATTTCCCGACAGGTCTTGTTTTAATGTTTCCAGGTACACCACCTCCTCTCTGGACACTTTTTCTAACAAGCCTCTTACACTTCACAGGAATCTCCATCTATCAAAATAAATATTGTGAGAATTCTCAGGAATGCAGTTTGTGTCCAAACGATAATACTCCAAAATAGAGAGTATATGTTGTGGATTATTTAAATTCACCTTTCCTTCAAATGGCAGGAATTCAAGTGCATCTATTCATTTGACATTTTCTTCTTGTGTCAATGTTTCATTAAATGTGTGAATCTTTATTTTATATGTAGAGTCTGAATGCAGAAATGGAACTCAGCACACACTGCCCGTTTCATTAAGTTTCTTGCAATATCTTCAGAGGGAATACTAAGAATCCAAAATGGAGACTTTCCATAGGTTCCCTGACTGCAGGTGAACTGTTCAGGGTGCAGGGCAGTGCCATCACAGCTGCCTGCTGTGCACCTGCGTGGCCTACGTGATGTCCCGCCTGTTTCGTTGTTTTTGTTTTTTCAGATTTTGAGCCTGTTACCATACTAGATAAGTGTCTGCCTTCTTGTGATTTATCATCTCAGCTTAGATGTCATCAAGATAACTCAATAAACTTTAAAATAATGATGATTCAGTGAATAACTCTTTTCCCTATGAGTCAAATCTCAGTCAGACACCACAGAAATGTCATTAATCAGCAGCAGTTTAATCCTTTTTAGTGGTTTTACCTTTTTTTGGTCCACTGGGTGACCAGATGGTTGCTCAAGTATTTATTTTCTAACTATCCTAAGCAATGAGGGTATAAAATAAACCAATCATACAATTAAAGTCAATCTATACTTTTAAAACAATTATCATGATGAAAGTGCCTGAGTCACATTTTAAGGTCCATTCCAAATGATCATTTGTCTCTCTCCATTCCCTTCACTCTACCAAGAACACATTACTTTCTCATCAATGAGAAACATTGAACAACCTTCTATTATAACCTATCATCTTTTCTGACTCTATTTGTCGATTCTACTTTTTCCCTCAATAGGTGATTATCCTATTGAGAGGAGGGATACCTTAGGACTTGTTATATAACCAACACCCAATATTTTAAATATTTATTGAAATATTAGTCATACAACAAATTGTATCAGGTGAGAATCTAGTAGAAATAGTTACTTTGGCAGAGCCATCCTTGCCACTACCTTGAATCTACAAACCTTTTGTAAATTAGCAGAGCAATATATAATATATTATTCAAACAATTTAGTATTTATTAGAAAGGCAATGTGAGAAATGCCCTCACCCATCCAATGCCAAAGGATGGACAGAGACACGAGGTCCAGTGAAGCGAGACTTTAATTATGGCCTTATAAGATTCGGGTGTCTGAAAGGGAGGCCCATGAAAAAGGGCTGTAGCAAGCCATTTATTCCCTAATACACAAAAGTCCCACCCTCTGCTTCCTCATTTGGCTGAGAGTACTACAGGGTGCACAATCATCCCAGATGGCATCTAAAATTTATTACCCGGATTTATTACCCCTTGTAAGAAATTTGTCTGAGGGCTCAGGACAAGTCTGCAAAAAAGGCCTGCTGAAACCCTGTGAAAAGAGACACCAGGAAATGAAGAAAACAATAAAGGGCTAGTAACTCATTACCATCTCAAGGAGAGCTTTATCTGTTCAAGTAAACAGTAAGAGCTAGTAACTAATTACCTCCTCAAGGAGAGCTCTATGTGTTCAGCAACCTTCCAGCAGTGGGCAGGACCAATCAAACAACTTTTGGGCTGGGCCTGAATTAGTTAAAACACCCTCAGATAAGTCATTTATGAAAATGAATCACTTAGATTATTTTCTTTCAGGCTTCTTGCATTCATAAGGGAGGTTTGAATAGAAAAATGGCTATTTATTTTATTTATTTATTTATTTTTGTCTTTTGTCTTTTTTCCTGACCGGTAATGGGATCGCAACCCTCGGTGTCGCGCCCCGTACCACGACCAGCAATGGGATCGCAACCCCCAGCGCTGCGCCCGCACCATGCTCAGCCAGTGAGCGGGGACCGGTCTCCACAGGGGACCCAAACCCTCGGCGGGAGCGCCACCGCGCTCCCAAGCGGTGCACTCTCCAGTGCGCCACCAGGCCGGCCCAAAAATGGCTATTTATGTAGGTTCACAATATTCCCCACCTGTGAAACCTAGTCCAACTTACCCCACTTTATTTTTCTTCACAGCACTTTCAACACAAGATGTTCTATGAATTTAACTTCTTAACTTATTTTTAGTTTCTCTTTCCCTTGACCAGGATGTAAGCTTCATGAGGGCAGGAACTTTTTTGTCTGTTTTGTTCATTGCTACACCCCTGTGCCTAGAAAAGTATCTGGAATGTAGCAAGTGCCCAATAAATGTTTCACCTGTGCCAAAGAATGAAATAAACATAGAGCTCTTAAGGAATTTAAGAATTCTGTTAATTTGGCCAGTAGCTTATTAAAAATGTTTTCTGTATTCTATGGGTCTAAGGATGCTTAAAGAAAAGACATCATGTTGTAGCAAGTGCAATTCTAACTATAGTTTAGCATAATAAAAACTTACACAGCACTAAACATTATACTTTTAATAAATAAATAAATACATAAATGTAAGCTAGTATGTTTGATTGGTTTAAATAGAGAGAGGCAGTGCCATATTATAGTATCCTGAATTCAGAATCTTAATTAGTGCTATCATAGCTACCTTGACCTCCAGGAAGGAGAGCAGATGGTCCTAGGCTTACAAGGAGGCCTGCTCTGTTCTGTCAGAAAAAGGAGCAGCCTCTCCAGGCTGGGTACGAGTGTTTAAGGGTGCAGGGACACAGCACTGAAGTATTATCATCTAAGGTGGAGATCTACCCACTATGACCTGCTTTTTATGGCCCAAGCTCAAGAAACTTTTTACATTTTTTAAGGGTTGTTAAAAAAAAAGAAAAAAAATATGCGACACAGACCTATGTGGTCTACAAAACCTAAAATATCCTCTGTCTGGTACTTTGCAGAAAACGTGCTTTAGACCCTTCATCCATATTGTTTCTGGTCCCCAAAGTCAGCTTTTCTTCTAGGTCCACAGATTTTGTGCATTTCTCTTTCCATTGAATCAGTCATGTAGGATGTTTTATGAACCAAATTAGAAAGGCCAACAGAATTAGGCAAAAGGTCCTCTTCCCATTCCCCATGAAAGCTAATATGCACAAGACACAGGTCACCCTCTCCATGGCAGCTCAAGGAAAATCACATTTGTGCCCCTGAAGAACCAGGAGAGAGGAATGTCCCCCAATGGCGATTTTAGCTAGGCAATGGCTTTCTTAGATCTAAGATACCAAAAAAGTCCACTAAGAAACGGTTTAGAAGTTGTTACTCAAAACTTTTATGAGAATCTGTGTCACTAGGAACTCTGAATGTGTTGGCAGGAACACCTTATTTTTTCTTAATGCATTAAAATGAAGAGAGAAAAAAGGAGTGAGGAAAAAGTTCACTTAGCTCTTGGCAAATGGCAAGACAATGAATTTATCTATGATCATATTCACTGGCTTCTTTTTGGCAATTGTTCGGATGGGTATTTCTCTGGCTCTTGGCCATGATTGTTGTTTTAACACAAGGTTTCCATTCCTTTCCTGAAGCCAAAAGATGATCTATATCCTTTGCTCCACCCGACTATGCATTGCTGGACTCCTGCAAGTGACCTGTATGTTGGCTGTGAAGAGGGTCCTCTTTTAATGATTAACGGAGAGACCTTGAAAGTGACCGTGCTTAGTAAGATAGAAGAGGCACCACCAATGGGTGAGAAACTTCTCTGCTTCATATTCCCGGAAGTGTAGCCATGGGTGTTGGTTTTGCACACACTTGAAGATGGATGTTTTGTTACCTATTTTTCCCTTTCTTAGAGACATCTTCTAATCTTCCTCCTCCTTTATCTTCTGGTTAGTTACCAAGTCCTGCACATATTCCTTACAGCTAGCTAATGTTTATTGAGTCTTACTATGCTCTTGGCATTCTGCCATCACTCTAAATGCATATTTCATGTGATTCTCAAAACAGCATTATAAGGAGATACATCTTTATAATGCAGATGGAGTTAAGAAACATGTCCAAATTCACATAAACTATCAAGCTAACACTTGAACCCAGGTCATAAGACCTCGGAGTCCAAGTTCTTAGCTACTTTGCTGTATCCTTTCGTATACATATGCCCATTCTACCTAGTCAGCTAATAATCATGTCCTTTCCTGTCTCCCATCCCTCACAACCCCTTTCTCCATGACAACCATCTCTTTTAAGTCCAAAAGCAATCTTGAAAGTTACCTTTGTGCTTGATCAGATTTTCAAAGAGAACCTATCTATTTCCCTTAGATCTAGTGTCCATTCCTGGTCCTATCAGCTGTGGCTAGGGTTGGGCCTACATCACAGGAGCCAATGTCCACCCACTGGGGGCTAGGTGCAGACTCTTTGAAGAGGGATCCTGGTCAGGGCAAGCTCCCCAAACCTGTCCAATGCACTCTATTACAATTGCTCTGATTATATCATGCCTTGATTTCTCTAAAAATCTTAGGACTGACTTCATTGACCTTAATGTACATCTGACACAAACCAGACAGCTGGTCCTACCAAACTGTCCTTTTTGGGGCTGGCCCGGTGGCGCACTGCTACAGTGCGCTGCTTGGGAGTGCGGCGGCGCTCCCGCCGAGGGTTCAGATCCCACATACAGACCGGTTCCCACTCACTGGCTGAGCAAGGTGCGGGCGCAGCACCGAGGGTTGCGACCCGTTGCCGGACACGAAAAAAGACAAAAAGGAAAAAAAATAAAAAATTAAATTAAATTTTAAAAACTGTCCTTTTTGAAGACCATTTTCAACACACAACTCAAGGACTGCTCTCCCTTGATTTCAACTCCCCTCCCATCTGATCCCACCTGCTCCATTAGTATTATTTCCTACTACTCCCCAGTATGAACTTTCTGATCTAGCCAGTCACTTCTTCCCATTGTGTCACAGGCATGCCTCCTAGATTATTCCCTTGCCACTTTCCCACTCTGAATCTCCCAGGGCCCAGCTCAAATACCGCCACCTCCATCAAGTTTACTCCAACTCTGATGCCCCTCATTAACTCCCTCTCTCATTCTCTGACCCACACTTCACTGATAAAGCTGAGGCCATCAGGTTTGACTTTCCTGCCCACTCCTCTTCCCTTTAGTGTTACTGCACCTACCAGGCTTGCTCCTCTCTCTAATCTAGCGTCTAAAGTTCCATCTGAGTAGCGCTCTAAAAGTAAGCCTCTTTCCGGCCTGTCTTTCCAGTTTCAGGTCTTCCCACATGAGCTTTTTAAACTTTCTCATCTTTCCCATGCTCTCTCCAAATTCCGTCAGCTGGTGTTGGTAGTTACCTTTGTTTGGATCACTCACTCTTCCTTGTTTACTTGGTGAAATCCTCCTCCTTCTTGGAACCTTCCCTCTCCTTGCCCCAACCTTCAGGCAAAATTAGGTGCTTCTGTCTAGGATTCCAATAGACTCACTCTTGTGTTAGGCCCCATCCTTTGCTATTACAATGACCCATGTGCATGTCTGTTTTTCCCACTAGTCATCAACTCTTTGAAGTCAGGAATTGAATATTACTCAGTCTTTGGCTCCAAAGTCTAATCCCAGATATCATTACAGAGTAACTTGGCACCTCTTTGTGGTTGTAAAATGAATTATAAAACCATGTTTCTCAGGTCCAAATTCCAATCACACTTCCAATGTATTTTACAAAATTTGGAACTTAATCATATGTAGTCTTGTATTGCTCATTATTTCCTTCCTGCATACTATTTCTTATGATTGTCACAGTATATTACATATGCTTTCAAATACATATATATCAAGCTTTTACAATGTGGAAGACACTAAGCAAGGTGCCTTAGAGGTTACCTAGATAACAAGTACATAGTATCATAATTCCTATCCTCAAGGGACTTAGACTTTATGAGAGAGGATAAGACAAGTAGACAAATAATTACAGCCGGGGAGGTTAAGGCGATCTTATTAAGAAAGAGCTTCACAAGGTACTATCGGGACTGAGATGAGGGAAACGGTCCAAGTTAAGTCATTTTGAAGATTGAATTTGAACTGGCCCTTGAAGAACAGATTCACAAGGAGAGATGTGGGTAGGTGGAACTTCTGGCAGTGGTATCTGCATGGACAAGAAGGCATGGGGAAGGCTGAGAAATAAGTGGTGCAGTTTGTCTGGAGCATCAAGTGTTACAAAAGAGTAGAGGGGAACAAAGGGACATCCACCCCATATCTAGCCAGTCATGTCCTGCTAAGGTGTTTGTACTTAATTCAGCTGACAGTGGGCACACTTCAAACATCCTGAATGGGGATGTACCCCAATTGGAATTGTGCTTGGGCAGATTATCCACAATTCAGGAAAGAATGGTCCTAGAAGTGAGTGGCTGTAGGCAGCAAGCATCTAGACTGGGCCAGGAGTCAGAAGAATGTGGACTTTAGTGGCAGCTGGATTCGAAAAGAAGGGTCTTCTGGGAGATGATATCTTTGAAGGAAAGGAGTATGCTTCCTAGCATCTAGCAAAATGTCAGGCACATGGTATGCAGTGAACAAATAATTTGATGGATGCCATCTGAGCCTGTGATTTTGTAGCTCTTGTGGTTTGTCTACATAAAAAGGTAATATGCTTTTGTTATTTTCCCCCAAGGACAATATTTTATTAATGATAAATGTACTCATAGAACAGTTTTTCTTTTCACTTCCTTTTTGTTGACTGTGCTTTATTTACTGAGGTACAAATCTGCATACCATAAAATGTACAAATCTTAAGTGTACACCTTGACAATAAGATAGTTTTGGTTGTCCCCTGCCCCAGATTCTTAAAACCTCTGAAATGCTTTCCTAAAAACTAAAATATATTTACTATATAATTCTGTAATGTTGGTTACATCGGTCTGATGATATAAAACTTAAGAACAACTTGTGTAATTTACATAAGCAATCATTATTAAGCAACTTTTATTATTCATTGTTACCTTGCACTTTTATTTATGTGTCACCTACTTTATCTTGTTTTTCTTTTTCAAAAGACAGAGGAAACCTTATCAGTCCGGTCACCTTGGTATATCAGAAGGAGGGTGTGCTTGCTTCTGGAATTGTAATGTATTTTTTCTTCAAAATTAATTGCTTTCAAGAAAATACATAATTTCCATTCTATTATGAGCCATATTTTGGGATGTCAGTTTTTGTCAGATTATTAATTAAAATTGTTTCCTCTTTGGATACTATTATAAAAAATTTTATGAAGAGTTTCAAATATTTACAAAAATAGAACAGTATAGTTAGCTACCATATACCTATTTCGTTGCAAATAAACAAAAATAGAACATGAAAACCTATTGCTGTCTCCCAGTGAAAAACACCTGTAACCCAATTCCATGCCCATTTCTGCACTTAATATATTATGTTGTCAGACACGAATTTGGAACCTTTTGTGCGTCCCATTTAGCTTACATGTATCATGTTGTTGTTATTGATATTAGAATTAGTATTAATAGCCTCTGTTGACTTACGCTTACTTTGTATCAGCCACCATGCTAAGTGCTTTACTTGTATTATCTTATTGGTCCTCACCAAAACCTTATTAAGTAGGAACTATTACCCTCCTTATACAGATGGAAGAACCAAGTCTTATAGCATTCACCAGCAAGTAAGTGGGAGAGCTAGGGCTTGTACCCAAGGGTGTCAACCTCCAAAGTCCTTGCTCTCATTTATTAGAACACACAGCCTTAGTAAGTATGAAATGGGATCAGACGGTGTTTTTCCATGGTGTTGGAATAAACCCTAAGGTTTGGAATTGACCTATACTAAAGTCTCAGGTCTAGCTATAGCTGTCCAGAGTCCACTGTTAGCATTGTCTTTCCATTGCCACAGATCACATCTCCAGACCCTCAGGGCAGCTAGGCAATGACCTCAGGGTGAGCTATGTAGTTCCACCAGTGAGAAGCCATCTGGAGCTCATTCACCTACACTCAGCTCGTAATTCCCTTCCTCAACCTTGCAGTGGACCACCCCCTCCTCCCCCCTATACTTAGTCTGCATTTGTGGCCTTTTATGACTCTTGTTCTCTTCAAGGCCACTCTCCATGTTTCTTTTAACCTACTTTAAAGGAATGATTACAGCATTTGCTCTGGTGAAGGATGGAGAATGATGACGAGCTTAGAGAAGGCCCCTTGCTTGTCCCCCAACCCCAGGTCCCATGCATCTGAGCCCTGCCACCTCACAAATGCCCACTCTAAGTTATAATGGGGTCTAATATAGAAAATAATGGATGAATTTTCCCAAACCCACTTACCTATGGTAAAAATAACACAAATTCCTCTTGAGAGAAAATTAACCTAAATCTATTTACAACCAACTAACAAACCCACCCATTTTTATCAGATACCTGCCATGTTCTAGCATTGTGTGAGGAACGGGCAAAGAGAATACAAAGGAAATAAAAGAAACACCTTGGTCGCTTAAGGAGATAAGAAATGCACATAATAATGATTAAAGAGCATGCATTAGACCTAGTGTCCTCTGAAGTAAGGAGACTGCTGTACACAAGCCACACAAGCTCTGCCCCATTTTTCCCACCTCCTGTACAGTGAAGAATGTGGTAAGAATATAGATACTAGAGAACCAAAGGAAGAAGAGATCACTAAAATTTTAGGTAATTGAAAAATGTGTCACAAAAGAGAAAAAACTGAAGCTTTCCCAGGGAACATGGATAAAAGTTGCCTAAATAAATATGGGAGGACAGTGTATTCTAGATAATGTAAACACAGATGATGATTCCAAATAAACAGGAGATGGTAATCATAAGTCTTAGCTTATCTGATGAGGAAAGAATGCTATGCATTGATGGAGACTGATTTTCTGCATTTATCTCATTGTTTTTCATCTCTAGGATGGCATCGTGTATTCTTTTACTATTAAAGATTCAAGTTACAAAGTAGAAAATTTCCTTGAGTTTGAACAGCCTGTGGAACATTTGATCTTTTCTCCCAGTTACAAAATGTTGCTGATTCAAACAGAGAAGGTATGCTAGATGGTAATTTCTTGATAAGCAATTTTTAGATAATGTTTTTATCATCATTGATTGACAGAAATGAGGGGCAGAGAGTGCTGCATAATGATACTCTACTAGTCAGGAATCAATAGATTGAAACTGAAAACATACCCAATTTAAAAGTCCTAAATAGCAAAGAGATATTTCTTTGTTTTTTGCTTGTAACTGAAAGGTTGTGGAGTGGGCCCAAATCCAAGAGCTCCCACTATGCCACTAGGCCTTGTTTTTGTGCATTTCTTGGATCTGTTTCCTCTCTGCTGCCTCTATTTCCATGCAGACCTTCCCCTTGTGGTGTCAGGAGAGCCTCCTGCAGCTCCAGCTTATATTTCTATCCTCTTTGTGACCCTGATGGAAAGAAACCAGCTAGAAAAAAATGTCCTGAAATTAGACATTGGACTAACTTGGGTCACCTGTCTACCTCTGGGCCAATCATTATGATCAGGGAGGATCTAAGCTCTGATTGGCCAAGCCTAAGTCACGTGCCTACTCTTAAACCCTGTGTAGAGTCAGCTCACCCAAATGTGGACTGAGTTTGGGGTCATGGGTGGTTCTATTAAGGAAAATATGGTTCAGTGAGAGACAAAGGGAGAGGAATTAATGCAGGGTAAAAACAAATGTCTATCTCAATTATATTGTTAGAAAAACTAATGGAATGACCCTCAAAGGTCAGAATTAGAAGCCATTTATATTGCTGGCAATAATTTTAGATGGATTACAAAGTTCAATGATTTCTGCCCAAAAGAAACTTAAATTTAAATATGGAAAGACTTGTTTCTGGTAATTACCAAAAGTTAAAACAACTGTCCTATGTTTTAATAAATAAATGACAAATCTAAAATATTTATGGAGAATAGGAACCATTTAAAAAAACAACAGAAGGGGGAAAGACCCAAATATGCTGACAAATATAAGGTAAATAAACATGTCTGACAGAAGATTGGACACAGCCAAAGAGAGAATTAATAAACTGGAGGATAGATCAGAAGAAGTTATCCAGAATGTAGCTTAGAGAAGCAAAAAGGAAGGAAATATGGAAGGGAGAGTAAGAGACATAAATAATACAGTGCTAAGATCTAACATGTTTGGTTGGAGTCCCAGAGATGAGAGAGAGTGGGGCAGAGACAATACTTCAAAAGATGTTGACTGGAAATTTTCCAGAACAGATTAAGGACATGAATTTACAGATTTGAGAGGTCCAGTGAATTCCAAGCAGGATACATTAAATGATGATATACACACGTAGACTTACTAAAATGAAATTTTTGAGATCAAAAGATTAAGAAAAACTTTTGAAAGCAGCCAGAGAGAAAAAACAAATTACTTCAAAGGAATTTCAATTAGACTAACAGCTGACTTCCTTCTTGCAATAATGTAAGAAAGAAATAGTGGAGTGATACCTTCAGTGTACAGCAGGGGTCAGCACTACAATGGCAGTGTTAAGTAGTTGTGACAGAGACCACATGGTCTGCAAAGCCTAACACATTTACTATCTTCATTTATAGAAAAAATTTGCTGACTCCTGTGATAATGGAAGAAAATAACTACCACCATTCTATACCCAATGAAAATATCTTTTTAGCATGGGAGTGAAAAAAGACATTTTTAGACACACCAAAACTAAGATTTTTGTCAGCAACAGACTGTCACTAGAGAAAAGTCTAAAGAATGTACTTCAGGCAAAAGAAAAATGATCCAAGATGGAAGTTGCATGTGCATGAAGGATGCAGAGCAGTAGTAATGTGTGGAGAAATACAAATGAACAGCAAAAATAACGTGAAGTTGGGTTTTATTTTATTGTTTTAAATTTTATTTATATTTATTTTTGTGGGGTACAGTGTGTTGTTTCAATACATGTATGTACTGCACAATGATTTACTTAGGGTAGATAGCATAGTTTTGTACCCATTAGCCCACCCATTCTCCTCCCCACCAATCCCCTCTCCTCGCAGCCTCTGGTGACCATTACTCTTCTATGAGGACCACTTTTTTTTCTTTTAGATTCCACACATGCAGTATTTGTCTTTCTGTGCCTGATTTACTTCACTTAACATGATGGTTTCCAGTTCCATCCATGTTGCTGCAAATGATAGGATATCATTTCTTTCTATAGCTGAATAGTTTTCCATTTTATACATATACACCACAGGCTTTTTTATCTATTCATCTGTTGATGGGCATTTAGGTTGATTCCATCTCTTGGCTGCTGATAATAGATAGCATTGCATGAACATGGGAGCACAGGTGTCTTTTTAATGTATTAATTTCATTTCCTTTGTGTATATACCCAGTAGTGGGATAGCTAGATCATAAAGTAGATCAATTTTTAGGTCTCTGAGGAATCTCCATACTGTTTGCCAAAAAGGCTGTACCAGTTTACATTCCACCAATAATGTAGGAGAGTTCCTTTTTCTCTACATCATCAATAGCATTTGTTATTTTCTGTCTTGTTGATAATAGCCATTCTAACTGGAGTGAAATGATATCTCATTGTGGTTTTATTTGCATTTCCCTGATCATTAGTGATGTTGTGCATTTTTTCATGTGCTTGTTGGCCATTTGTATATCTTCTTTTGAGAAATGTCTGTTCAGGTCCTTTGCCCATTTTTTAAATGAGTTATTTTGTTTGTTTTTTGGTTTTTGGAGGTCTTTTTGCTGTTGACTTGTTTGAGTTTGTTATGTATTCTGGATATTAGCCCTTGTCTGATGTGTAGTTTGCAAACACTTTCTCCCATTTTGTAGGTTGTCTCTTCATTTAGTTGATAGTTTCAGAAGCTTTTTAGTTTGCTGTGTGAAAGATTTTAGTTTGATATAGTCTCATTTGTATATTTTTGCTTTAGTTACCTGTGCATTTGTGGTCTTGTTCAAAAACGCACTGTCCACTCCCATTCCGTGTATAATTTCCCTTAGGTTTTCTTCTAGTATTTTCATAGTTTCATGGTTTGAGGTCTTAAATGTAGGTATTTAATCCATTTTGAGTTTTTTTTGTGTGTGTGTATGGTGAGAGACAGGGGTCTACTTTCAATCTTCTGCATATGGATATCCAGTTTTCCCAGAACAATTTATTGAAGAGGATGTCCTTTCCCCAATGTATATTATTGGCACCTTTGTTGAAAATCAGTTGGCTGTAAGTGTGTGGGCTTGTTTCTGAGCTCCCTATTCTGTTCTGTTGGACTATTTGCTTATTTTTATGCTAGTACCATGCTGTTTTGGTTACTATAGCTTTATATTATATTTTGAAGTCAGGAAGTGTGATGCCTCCAACTTTGTTCTTTTTGTTCAAGATTGTTTTATCTGTAATAGGGTCTTTTGTGGTTCCATAAAACTTTACAAATTTTTTTTTTCCATTTCTGTGAAGAATGTCATTGGTATTTCGATAGGGATTATTTTTAATGTTTAGATAGCTTTGGGTAATATGGACATTTTGATAATGTTAATGCTTCCAACCCATGAACATGGGATATCTTTCCATTTATTTGTGTCATCTTTAATTTTCTTCACCAATGTTTTATAGTTTTCATTGACAGGACTTTCACCTCATTGATTAAATTAGCTCCTAGGTATTTCATTTTTTTTTGGTAGCTATTGTAAATGGGATTGTTTTCTTGATTTCTTCTTTGGCTATTTTGTTATTGGTGTATAGGAAAGCTATTGACTTTTGTGTGCTGATTTTGTATCCTAGCACCTTACTGAATTCCTTAATTAGTTCCAGTAATTTTTTGGTGGAGTCTTTAGGGTTTTCTATGGATAGGATTGTGTCAGAAGTTAGGGATGGTTTGACTCCCTCCTTTCTGATTTAGATGCTCTTTGTCACTTTCTCTTGCTGTGTTGTGCTGGCTGAAACTTCCAATACTATGTTGAATAAGAGTGGGGAAAGTGGGCATCATTGCCTTATTCCAGATCTTAGAGGGAAAGCCTCCAATTTTTATCTATTCAGTATTTTATTACCTGTGGGTTTGTTGTAGATGGCCTTTATTGCATTGCGGTACATTCCTTCTATACCTAGTTTGTTGTTTTGTTTTCTTTTTATCATGAAGTGCATTAGATTTTATCAAATGTTTTTCTGCATCTATTGAAATGATCATATGGGTTTTTCCTTCATTCTGTTGACATGATGTATCATGTTTATTGATTTGCATATGTTGAACCATCCTTTCATCCCTGGGATTAATTCCACTTGATCATGGTTGAATGATCTTTTTTTTTTTTTTGTCTTTTTTCGTGACCGGCAACGGATCGCAACCCTCAGTGTTGCGCCTGTACCGGACCGGGACCGGCAACGGGATCGCAACCCTCGGCGTTGCGCCCGCACCTCGCTCAGCCAGTGAGCGGCTGGTCTGTACATGGGATCCGAACCCTTGGCGGGAGCGCTGCCGCGCTCCCAAGCGGCGCACTGTAGCAGTGTGCCACCAGGCCGGCCCTTAATGTGTTGTTGGATTCTCTTTGCTAGTATTTTGTTGAGGATCTTTGTTTCTGTGTTCATTGGGAATATTGGCCTTTAGTTTTCTTTTTTTGTTTTATCTTTTTCCAGTTTTGGTATAAGGTTAATTTTGGCCTTACAGAATGAGTTTGCAAGTATTCCCTGCTCTTCACTTTTTTGGAAGAGTTCGAGAAGAATTGTTATTAGTTCTTCTTTAAAAGTTTGGTAGAATTTGGCAGTGAGCCATCTGGTCCTACAGGGTTTTTTGTTGTGGTTGTTGGGAGCTTTTATTACTGCTTCAATCTCATTACTCATCATTGATCTGTTTAGGTTTTCTAGTTTTTCATGATTCAACCTTGGTAAGTTGTATGTGTCCAGAAATTTATCCATTTCTGCTAGGTTTTACAGTTGGTTTTCATAAAGTTGGTCATAGCAGTCTCTTATGATCCTTTGTATTTCTACTGTATCAGTTGTAATGTCTCCTTCTTCATTTCAGAGTCTTTGTATAGTCTGTTCCATCTGCCTGAAATGCTCTTCTCACAGAATCCATGTGGATTCTTTATTCATTTCCTTCAAGTCTTCTCTCTAAAGTTACCTTCTCACTGAAGCCTTTCTTGGAGACTCTATTTAAAATTTCACCCTTTAATTTTGCCATGTAGTATCCCCCTTCCCTGTCTTTCTTTCTTTCTTATGATTATTGCTATTTAACTTACAATACATTTTATTTGGATATATTTTTCATTGTCTGAATCCCCCAATATAATGTAGGCAGGGAATTTTTGTCTGTTTTGTCCTCTGAGGTAGCCCCAGCATCCAGAGCAGAGAAGGCACAGTGTATTCACTCAATATTAGTTGAGGGAATGAATTAAATGTAAAATTATTAAAAACCTACCAGATTTTCATTTTTGTAGAAAAAAAAACACAAATATTGATATTTAACTCAAGTAAACTTGAAGAACTTGTGATGAGTTGAAAGCAGACATCTATCTAATTGCTGGTTGAGTGACCATATCATATTACAATTACTTGGTAGAAATTCATAAATTACAGGACAGAATTTTTTTTTTTTTTTTGGCAAGGTGAATTTGGGAGCCGAGAATGATAAACAAGTCATAAAGTCATAGCTTCAGCCACAGTTTCTCCAAAGACTTTTTAAATTTTTAAATTAGAACTGCCCCATTGAGTTTAGCATGTGGTAGAATTTAGTTTATCTTAAAAACTTTTCTGGTTTTCCACATAAATAGACAGCGTTTTTTAAATTTAAAAAAAAAAAGTGTTTTGTTGCATTTTTTAATTTTAAAATAAAATGCCTGGAATTGAAGAAGTCCTATTTATTGATTTTTTAAATGATGAATAAATGAATGAATGGATGAATCAATCAACAAACAAATCAAGTATCTAGATTTTAAGCCTCTCAAGGTCAAGGTCTTATTGAGTTGATCTGTACCTATTCCCACACAGAGCCTTGCTCACAGTAGGCATTTAATAAATATTTGTTGAACTACATACACAACGATTGTAATGTTTCTTTCTTTTTATTTTCTTTCTTTCTTTTTTTTTTTTTTGTATATTTATCAGGGATCTGTTTATATCTACACTTTTGGTGAAGAGCCAACCTTAGACAAAGTCCTAGATGCTTGTGATGGGAACTTTCAGGCAATTGACTTTATCACACCTGGAACCAAACACTTCATGGTAAGAAATATTCTGTGTCACAGTAGGATTTAAAGATGCAATGTTTCAAGATTTAAATTTCTTTCTACATGTAGCTAGGTAACTTTGAAAGTTCATGTGCAAATAGGAGGCAGAGGGAATCTTCGAAGATACTGAAGATAGAGATGCCAACCACTTACATCATCAAATCTGCTCCCTAGTTAGAATTATCTTATTATATTGTGACTTCATGTATTGTTTTCTGAAAATGGCCAAAGCAATTGAGATCTTAGGAGCCTTACTTCTTGTTTTAACCACCCAAGCTTTGCAAGCAGTTCTTTAAACATATTTATTGCTAATGAGTCGTCAACATTCAGTAAACTATTAATATTTGCCTCCTTTCAGAGTGATGCAGCAGCACCACCTGAGGATGAAAATGAAATAATTGCCAAGTACAAAATATAAATTTAGTCCTACTTAGAAAAAAAAAATACTCTCTACATTTAGAAACTATATACTTCTTTTCCAGTGTCTCACTGTTCACCTTTTGTTGATCTCAAGAAACGTACTTCAATTTTCGTATGACTTATTAATAATTCCATTAAGATTTTGGGGAGTCTAGCAAATAAAAACATAGACTATGGAATGGGTAATATTTAAAGTTTCTACAAATCTTGAGATTCTGATTATATGATTTTTCTACTAGATGTTCTCATAAAAATCATGTCTATTCTCATGATTGTTTCAACTCAGTAAAATTTTCATGTTTGGGAATTAGATACTTGATTCACATTTTCATCTTACCTAATCCTTAGTATTCAAAAAACAGAACTTAAATTATATCACATTGCAGTCACCTTAAGTTTTTCAGTCTCGATGCTGAGAAAGTTATCAAAAAAAGAAAAATGTGCACTTTTGGTTTCCAGTCCAGTTTGTAAGGAGCTTGAAAGTGTCACTCCCATCCTCACAACAAGAAAAAAAAGCTGAACAAACTGCAAATCAACAATTCTCCCTAGAGTGATCAGAGATTTGCAGTCACGGGGCAAACCAGTACCCCCTCCCCCAAATTGAAGAGACAGACAAATAAATATAGAGGATCACAACTTACCGGAACAGAAACCCAGAAGCAGAAACCACCACTGGAGCCAGTACCAGGGAGATTACAACTGAAATAATGTCACAGACCTTATTTAAGAAATCTCTAGAGAAACCCAAAGACCAATAAGGAGGCAAAAACAAGGACACCAGGGGGGATTTGAGCTTCTGACACTTACAGCTTCAGTTAACAGTAAACACAGCCTAGATTCTAGCCAGATAAGCATGGAAACTTACACTAAAGCCTATTTACTTTAGTTCCTTCGACCACCACATCACGCTCAGCTTTCAACCAAAAATTGAAATTGACAGCAGGCATATTTGAAGAAACAGAGCAAGAATCATAACCAAATATGGCAAAGATGTTGAAATTATTATGCCAGTAATTTAAAACAAGCATGAATTACATGCTAAAAGCTCCTATGAAAAAAGTGAAAAATATGCAAGGAAAAATGGATAATGTAAGCAGAGATATGAAAACGCTAAGAAAGAATCAAAAGAAAATGCTAGAAATTAAAAACACTGTTAATATAAATGAAAAATATCTTTGATGTGCTCATCAGTAGACTGGACATGGCTGAGGGAAGAATCAGTGATCTTGATAGAATATCTATAGAAACTTCCAAAACTGAAATGCAAAGAGAAAAAAGAATGAAAAAGGCAGAAGAAAATATTCACAAATTATATGACAATTACAAAAGGAATAACATATGCATAATGAGAATACCAGTAGGAGAAGAAAGAGAGGAAATGTTGGAAGTAATAATGGCTGAGGATTTTCCAAAATTAATGGTAGACACAAACCACAGATGCAGGGAGCTCAAAGAACACCTAGCTGGATAAACTTAAAAATAATAATAATTATATGCACATCATATTTAAACTGCAGAAAATCAAAGATAAAAAGAAAATCTTGAAGAAAATGGGGAAAGGGGCTGGGGAGAGGAAGCACTCTACTCATAGAAGAGCAAGTATAAGAATTACATAAGACTTCTCTTCAAAAACCATGCAAGGAAGACTGAAGTGAAATAAAATGTTGAAAGAAAAAAACTCCATCAACTCAGGATTCTGTATCCAGTGAAATTATCATTCAAAATTAAAGGAGAAATACTTCCACAGACAAACAAAATGAGGGGACTTTCTGCCAGTAGACCTGCCTTGCAAGAAATGTTAAAAGAAGTTCTTCAGAGAGATGGATTCAGAAGGCAGAAGATTGAAATCAATAAGAACATACTCAGTTTGAACAGTATCATTAACCAACTGGATCAAATTGACATCTATAGGATGCTTTATTCAGAAATAGCAGAATACACATTCTTTTCAAACTCATATAGAACTTCAACAAGATAGACCACATTCTGGGTCATAGAACACACCTTAATAAAATTGAAATTACAGAATTATGCAAAGTATGCTGTCAGGACACAGTGGAATTAATTTAGAAATCAGTAATAGAAAGAAAGCTGGAAAACCCTCAAAATACTTGGAGATTAAATAACACACAGGTTAAAGAAGAAGTCTCAAGAGAAATTAAAAATTTTGAACTAAATTAAAATGCAATACAACTTACCAAATTTATGGGATGCAGCACAAGCAGTATTTAGAGGGAGATTTATAGCACTGAATGTATTAGAAAAGAAGATCTAAAACCAATCATCTAAGCTTTCACCTTCGGAAACTAGAAAAAGAAGAGCAAATTAAATCCAAAATAGAAGAAAAGAAATAATAAAAATTACAGCAGAAATCAATGCAATTGCAAATAGAAAATCAGTATAGTAAAATGAAACCAAAATTTGGTTCTTCAAAAAGATCAATAAAATTGATAAACCTCTAGCCAGATGTATTTATCTGTTTCTGTTGCTTATAACAAAATACCTGGAACTGGGTAATTTATAAGAAAATGAAATTTATTGTTTACAATTTTGGAGGCTGGGAAGTCCAAAGTCCAGGGAACATATCTTGTGAGGGTCTTCCTGGTAGTGGTTTTACAGTAGTGCAGGGGTCTCACCTGACAGAAAATGGTGGAGTAGAGAGAGAGAGAGAGAGAGAGAGAGAGAGAGAGAGAGAGAGAGAGAGAGAGAGAGAGACTTTTTGTATGCTCCCTTTTATAGCCCTCAGAACCACACTCCTGACCACCATTATTAATTCATTCACTACAGCACGGTCCTACAATCTAATCACCTCTTCAAGGCCCCACCTTTCAATTACCATAATAGGATTTCCCACCCTCAACAGTTACAGTGGGAATTAAGCTTCTAATGTATGAATTTTCAGGGACACAATTCAATCAATTCACAGCACAGGTTAACTAAGAAAAAATGAGAAGATACAAATTACTGATATCAGCAATGAAAGAGGAGTCATAACTACTGACCCCACCCCATGGACAATAAAGGAATATTATGAGCAACTCTCTGCCCACAAATTTGATAACCTAGATGAATGGACCAAATCCTCGAAAGACACAATCTACCAAAACTCACACAAGGAGAGATAGATAATCTGAAAGGGCCTATACCAAAAAAATTGAATCAATAATTAATAACCTTCCAGAACAGAAAGAACCAGGCCCAAAGGGGTTCACTGTTGAATTAGAAATAATACCAATTCTCTACAATCTCTTCCAGAAAATAGAATCAGAAGAAATATTTACTAACTCATTCTATGAGGCCAGCATTACCCTAATACCAAAACCAGACAAAAGCACTACAAAAAAGGTAAATTACAGACCAATATCTCTCATAAATATAGATGCAAACATCCTCAACACAATATTAGCAAATTGAATTCAATGATGTATATAAAAAGCATTATATACCACAACCATGTGTGATTTCTTCCAGGTAATGCAAGGCTCATTTAACATTTGAAAATCAATTTTTTAAATATTATTTATTATAAGCATATTTTTATTACAAATCATGATTTTTCTTTATGCCCTTTACCCAACCTATCCCTCTCAAGTGCCCCCTCCCACCCTCCACCTCACTCCCATCTCTAGTATTCTGAAAGTTCAAGGAATTGTTTAGGTCTTTTCTTTCTTTCTTTTTCTTTCTTTCTTTCTTTCTGAGCACCCAGTTATAGTAAGAATGTGAGGTATTTCTCTTTCCTGTCTGGCTTATTTCACTTAACATAATTTTCTCCAGACTCATCCATGTTGCTGATTCATCACATTGAAAAAATAAAGAAAAATTATATTATCATATCAATAGGTGCAGAAAAAGCATTTGACAAAATCCAATACCTAGTTATGATAAAAACTCAGAAAACAAGGAATAGAGGAGAACTTCAACTTGATAAGGAATATCTACAAAAATCCTACAGCTAACATCATATTTAATGGTACAAATACCTATTCAACATCATACTGGAAGTCCTAGCTAGTGCAGTAAGAGAAAAAGGGAAATAAAAGATACACAGACTGGGAAGAATGAAATAAAACTGTCTTTGTTCTCAGATAACATGATTACCTACATAGAAAATCCTAAAGAATCAACAAAAACACTCCTAGAACTAAGTGATTTTAGCAAGGTTGTAAGATAAAAGTTTAACATACCAAAAAAAGTCAATTGCTTTCATATATGCCAGCAACAAACAACTGAAATTTTAAATTAAAAACAATATCATTTACATTAGCACCAATAAAATGAAATAGGTATGAATATAACAAAAGATGCATGAGATCTGTATAAAAAACTACAAAACTCTGAGGAGAGGACTCAAAGAAGATCTATATAAATGGAGAAATATTGCACATCTGTGGATAGGAAAATTCAATATTATCAATATGTCAGTTCTTCCCAACTTAATCTATAAGTTCAATATAATTTCAATCAAAATCGCAGCAAGTCATTTTGTGGATATTGACTAACTGATCTAAAGTTTATATAGAAAAGCAAAAGACCCAGAATAATCAACATGACATTAAGAAAGGTCACAGGACTGACACTACTCTACTTCAAGACTTAGTGAAAAGCTATAGTAATCAAGACAGTGTGATATTGGTGAAAGAGTGGACAAATAGATCAATGAAACAGAATAGAAAGCCCAGAAATAGACCCACACAAGTATAGTCAACTGATCTTTGACAAAGGAACAAAGGCAATTCAATGGAGAAAGGATAGTTTTTTCAAAAAATGGTGCTGGAATGACTGGACATCTACATGCAAAAAAAAAAAAAAACTCTAAACACAGATCTTAGACTTTTTACAAAACTTAATTCAAAATGTATCATAGACTTAAATGTAAAATGCAAAACTGTAAAACTTCTAGAAGATAACGTAGGAGAAAATCTAAGTTACTTTGGTCTTGGTGATAACTTTTTAGATGTAACAACAAATCACAATCCATGAAAGAAAAAATTGATGTTAGACATTATTAAATTAATAACATCTGCTCTTCAAAAGACACTGTTAAGAGAATAAAAAGACAAACCGCAGACTGGGAGAAAAATTTTTGCAAAATATATATCTGATAAAGGACTGGTATCCAAAATGTACAAAGATCTTTTAAAACTCAGCAATAAGAAAATGAACAACCCCATTAAAAATGGGCAAAAAATATGACTAGACACCGTACTAAAGAAGATACACAGATGGCAAATAAGCATTTGAAAAGATGCTCAAATCATGTGATTAGGGAACTGCAAATTAAAACAGCACTAGGGGGTGTCATCACCACCTATTAGAATATCTGAAATCCAAAACAATGACAATAACGAATGCTGGTGAGGATGGGAGTAACAGAAACATTCGTTGCTGGTGGAAATGCAAAATGGTATGGCCATTTTGGAGGACAATTTGGAAGTCTCTTAGAAAACTAAACATGTGCTTACCAAATGATCCAGCAATTACACTCCTTAGTATTTACCCAAATGGGTTGAAAACTTATGCCCACACAAAAACCTGCAGATGAATGTTTGTAACAATTTTATTAATAATCACCAAAACTTGGAAAAAACCAAGATGTCCTTCACTGTGTGAATGGATAAATAAACTGTGGTATATTCACACAATGGAATATTGTTCAATGATGAGAAATAAGCTATCAAGCCACCATAGACTTGGAGGAACCTTAAATGCAAATTGTTAAGTGAAAAAAGCCAATCTGAAAAGGCGACATATTCCAACTATATGACATTCGGGAAAAGGCAAAGCAATGAAGAAAGTAAAAAGATCAGTGGTTTCCAGGGGTTTGGTGGAGAGGGAGAAAGGGATGAAAAGGTAGAGCACAGGGGATTTTTATGTCAGTGAAACTATTCTGTATGATACTGTGATGGTTGACACATGTCATTATACATTTGTCAAAACCCACAGTACGAACAACACAAAGAGTGAACCCTAATGTAAACTATGGACTTTAGTCAATAATAATATATCAATATTGAGTCATCCATTGCAACCAATGTACCACACTAATGCAAGATGTTAATGATAGGGGAATTGTATATTTGGAGGGGGTGGGCGAGGGGAACTCTCTGCACTTCCTGCTCAACAGTTCTGTAGTCCTAAAACTGCTCTAAAAAATAAAGTCTATTAATTTAAAAAAGGAATAATGTATAATTTCTTATTGCTAGGTTTATTCACCAGGCAATAATCCCATTAAATTTCCAAGTAATTTTTATCTCAAATATGTTACATGGAAAAATCTTTATTTTATTTTCTAATCCTAATTAGTTATAATGTATTACTTAAATTGTATTAAAGATAATAGTTAATGTTTGTTCAGAAAAGGAGTATTGATGCTGAAATTATAAAATAATTATTTATAATCCACGTAAAAGGAAATTCTGTACTAAATCATCAGATTGACATACGAGAAAGAGAGGTAGAACATGCTTCCATAGAAGAGTCTTATTTTCCAGTGAGTGTTTTATTTTTCTTTCTTTTGCAGACACTCACACATTCAGGGGAAGTTTGTGTTTGGTGGATAGAAGATTGTGCTCGTGCCGGCAAGATTTATCTGAATACCCCAGTAAGTGTGCCTGACAAATGAATTTTTTTTAAGTGTTGAATTCTAATCCAATCTGCCTTTTTATATTCAAATAGTCTGTGGAAATGCTTGCTACAGAAGCCTTATTGCAATTCTACCTTATAGATTTAGATTCCTGTGTGTAAAGTATATGGCACAGCCCAGAGAGTGGAATATAATGTACTATATCTGTGTACAGGAAAGGATAACTTTTTTCTGTGGCTGCAGTTATTTTTGAAATCTTAGTGTTTATATTTCACACATGCTGTAAGTTCATTGTGATCTGGCAGGGGTCTCCGTTGCACATAGTCACTCAGGAGGCCAGACGGATGGAGGCTCTACCACAGACTGGGAGAAAAATCTTTGTATGATACATGTCTGGTAAAGTACTGATATCCAAAATACACAAAGAACTCCTAATAAGAAAATGAACAACCCCACTAAAAAAATGGGCAAAAAATCTGAACACCTTACTAAAGAAGATATATAAATGGCAAATAAGCATTTGAAAAGAATAGCTCCTCAGTGCCAATGAATGGCTTCTTAGTGTCATGGCAGGAGGGGAAGGGAGTGCTGGTGGGTCTTTTTTCTTTTTTTTTTTTTTTTTTTTTGGGGGGGGATCCTTGGATTAGAAATTAAATGCTTCTGCTCAGAAATGAAAAGAACCCTGGCCATAACTAGTTAAATGAGCCCACCTAACTGCAAGAGGATCAGTTAGAAATTAAAGAAGATTGCCATTCTGCCCAGTTTAAGCCAAAAAATATAAAGTGGGTGTTATTGGCTCAATCAACTATGAAGTACAGAGCTTGTCTGGCCTCATTTGTGCCTCAATCCAGCAGCTCAAATGATTTTACAAAGGACCTTGTTTTTCTCTGTTTCTATATCATGCCTTTCTTAGGCCCTATTTAGTGGTACCCGTATGCCACAGGTGCCACGCTCAAATCACAGTGCCAGGGAAGAAAATTTCCTACAGGTGGGGAAGAAGAGGAAGGGAATTTTGCCTTTCTAGAAGACTTAGTAAATATCTCCTAATGTCTTATAACATGCTTGAACTAATCACTGTGGACAGAGGGATGAGAACTGCTAATTGGCATAAGCTTAGCCCTGGAAATGGGATTCAGATCCATTCCACTCAATCCTGAAAATAGGGGAGGGATGGTTTGTCAGTGGGTATTCAAGAAATTATCCAGAAGGAGGGTGTATGGATGCTGGATGCAAAATGGTATGGCCATTTTTGAAAACAATTTGGAAGTCTCTTAGAAAACTAAACATATGCTTGCCAACCACAATTGCCCACAACACCTGCCACCATGTGATACCATTATTTCTACCATGTTAATAGTGCATTTCATGTAAAATAATATAAAAAACAAAAAAGAACCAAGAAAGTATAATAATGCTGTTTTTTTTCCCCTTAAATTATCATCATTTGCTGCATTACACAGTTCTAGATGAGATACAGATCTTGGTAGTAGGTAGGTTAGTTACAATCCTTCCCCTTTATAAAATTAAAATCTCAATCATAAAAGACTAAGCATGATACTTTATGTAAGAGGATTACAAAATACAAAAGATACATAATTCAATGTAATAAATAAAATTCTCCCTAAAACATAAAGATAAAAATACTTACCTAAAAGACTGTGAAATACGAAAAAACTTCATAATCTGTGTGGCAAATACTTATATGTATTCATTTCTGTTAGAATCACTAAAACTAGAAGAGATCTTACAAGTTCATCTGATCACATCTCCTTTTGCAGATGAGAGACGTACAAATGTTCAACAACCCACCAAGGGTCTTAATCAGGATTTAACTTGTTCCTCTTGGCCAAGGAGGGATAGAGGCACCATCAGGCCTTGGCAGACCTTCTTTGAACTCCAAACCAGGCATGGTACACTCATGTGGTTCAGCCTGCGTTGGAGGAGACATTGGTCTTTCCTTGCTGAAGGATGTGGCTGCCCTATGGAGAATTGATCAGTGGACTGACCCAGCAATGCTGAGGCCAAATCTTCCTGCCTGTACCTGGGACTATGTTCCCTGTGTGCACTTTAGGCAGAGGTCCTCAGAGAACCTAGCCCAGTACTACAATGGCATGACACCTGGACACTAGCAGCTTCCCTTGATGGCACCTGTGAGGTCATATAAGACCCTTCTGACTATTGCTGCACTTTTTTGGACTAGCTCACTATTGCCCTGGAATGGAGGAGACTTTCAACCAATTATTTTGGGAACATGCACCACACACTGAGAGGTCCCATAAAGGCTTTTCAGTTGAAAAAGATAAAATAAATGCCCACTCAGTTGGGAAACTGTGTGCATTCTAATAAGGCAGGACACCTGAGTGCTCATATGAACCTTGTCACCAGCTATGGGATCCTGAGGCAGATCCTTGGCCTCCATTTTCTATTCTGCAAGATGACGTTCTCTTAAGTTCTCTTCCAGTTCTAATCCTCCATGATTTTATTCAAAACAATCTACAAAGTGTAATAATAGAAGAATAAATCTGATTCCTTAAATACTGTGAAAGTAAATTTGTTCTCTTAAACATCATCTTCTGTATAAATAATTCTGAGAGAAACAGGAATCTGTTATTCCTTTCTTTAGTGAATGAATACATGGTCCAGTGATATAGTTAATTTTTTAAAAAATCTTCTTCAGTCATACCAACTTCCCAGGATTCACCACTACTCAGTAGATGAATGCTGATTTTAAAAATCACTCATGTATCATAAAAATATCTAAAAGATGCTAGGAATTTATTTTAAATTTATTATTTTATTTTTCGTTATTATTGGACTAATCATTCCAAAATCATTTAGATAGATTATTGGCATAATCATTTCATCATCATTTAGGGATAAAAATTAAGCTATGGTTTAAAGTCCAAGAAATCTCTTTATATTTTTATCATTCTAATTTTAGGATGAAAGAATAAGATGTACAGATTCTTGTGACTTCTTACGCAATTGGTTAGTTCAGTCACGTTGAGTTTATAATTTGAAATACCACACAACACCTGCCACTCTTCTTCTGCAGGCTTTTCAAATAAACTGTAAATTCTTATGTGTAGGACAGCAGGCTTCATTCTCTGGCACAGTGAAGATAAGCATCTGGGATTTATTTTAAACAGGTGACAGTTCTGGCTTGCTCTCCATCCTCCCTCTCTGCTGTCGTGGGGACCGTGGGTGGCTCTGTCCACTTCCTCGACGTGAATGATGTGGAATCCCCTCGGGTAGTTCACAAGACCTTTCTCTCCGAATCCCCTGTCCAGCACCTCGTGTAAGTATCTCCTGCTTCCAGCAGCAGCTTGGTGTCAGGCCTGTCGAGAATTCCAGTGAGGACATCATCTCTTTTAATTTTAGGTTTTACACATTGCATTTGTTTCAAATATTAACACATTTTCTCGGTTCAACATTCAGAAGAGTGTGTAGTGAAGTCTCCCCACCCTGGTACCCCCCTCACCCCCAGTTCTCTCCCTGAAGGCAGCAATTTCTTGCATCTCTGTTTCCAGAGACATTTTATCCATAAGCAAGCAAAAAGATAAGTACGTCCTTTTATTTATAATCATTGAGTACTTGTAAGTGCTTGTAAGATGTGCAGGCCAGGCACTTCTGTTGTATTAAGGCCATGAGGCCAATACTCTGACTGTCTCCGTTTTACAGATGAGGAAGAGGAGCCACAAAGAGTTTAAATAATTTGCTCAATATTACAGAGAGTAAATGGCAATTGTCAGGATTTGAGTCCAGGCAGTTGTGCTCCATAGTCACTGCCTTTGTGTTTAAAGGGATCAAATATGCACAATGTTCTATACCTCGTTTTTTTTCTCTTAATGATAGACCTTGGAGAATGTTTTTCACTCACATGTAAAGACCTTCCTCAGTCCTCTTTATAGCTTCATAGTATTCCATTATATGAATATGCTGTCATTTTTTTAAAAATACTATATAGGTAGACATGTGGATGATTTCAAATGTTTCAAAGCAATATTTTAAAAAGACAATAAAGAGACTTTGGACTTGGACTTGAGTGTTGTTATTATTGTATTAATCTTTTTTAAATTTTTCATAATAGTAAGTATTAATAGAAACTAACGTTTGTGCCCTGCTTTATAGCTTGAGGTACATTGTAGCTTATTGAATGTAATATTTGGAACGCCAGTGAGAAAGGTATTATGCTTGTCCCTATTAGACAAATTAGGGAATTCAGGTTCAGAGAGGTGGAGAGAAGCATTTGCTCAGAATTACACAGCAAGCGCGCAAGGAGCTGGGTTTCTGCTCAGCTCCACAGCCTCCAGCTCAGTGGGGAAGGACATACAACCTCACTCTGTTTACCCGCTGCTCTTCTGTACCATAGTTTTTTGCACTTTTTCTTTTTCAGATTCTTTCTTCTTCTTCTACTTTGCATCTTCCCACTTTTTCTAATTTGATAACATCATAGAAATGTTTCATTATGTTCTTCATCCTCCAGCCGAGTACTAGAAAGGGTACTGAAATGCCACACCCATTGCCACTTTGAGAATTGCTTATTCCCACTTGAAACATCAAGGAAGTTCTACTGACATATTTCATTCACTTATGATGAAACAGTTGCCCATCTTTACTGAATCTTCTTGACTGTGTACTTGTAAATTGCAACTCGGAAATAGCATTGGCCTAGAGTGCTGTATAATGATTATATCTACATGTAATCACTTGGCTTTTATAATGTTAGAGAGTATTAAAAATTACAAACTACAAGAATGACTGGTTTTGAACATATCTCCACAGTCATTCAGTAAGCTTGTTTACCATCTAATTGGCAAAACGAGTAGGATCTGATATTGGTATTTCTTCTGTCTAGTTATGACCAGCGAGGAATGTATCTGTTCGTTGGAACATCAGAAGGAAACGTCTTTGTTATCAACGCCAAGCCCTCAAGCTCATTTCAGATTCTTGGATTCACAGGTATGACATAGAATGTTTATTAATTTAAAATACTGATCACTTTATTCCAAAGAATTTAAGGTTGTGAAAATGGAACTATAGTGAAACAATTATTTATGGCATATTTTCTAAAAGAGAAACATTTAAGTAACTGTTAAAAGTTGTTTAGGAGAATTCCCACATTATGTTTAGAGGTATTTGGAGTATAGAGGCATCTGCTTGGTACATAGGTGATACTAAATAAATTGTCTTGAATCAATTATTGTATTAATTAATGAAGTGGCTGGACATTTCTAATGTTATTACAAAGGGAAGTTGGGGTGATTTCTTCTTGAAATATTTTAAAATAATATTTAATCTATATTTAATAAAGAGCTAATTCTTTTCTCTCTGTCTTTAAGAACCAACTATATATGTATATTTTCTCCAAAAATGTGTTTTTAAATCCATTCACTGATTTAAAAAATTGACAGCCTACTAGGTACCAAATGCTGAACCTGGGCTTTGTGGGTGATGAAAAGGTCAAGGAGACAGTTTAGTGGAGAAGGAACAAGCAGAGTGCTGTGCGGGCTCAGAGGAAGGAGCAGTTACTTCTGCCAGGTGTGAGGAAGGGAGTGGAGGTGAATGTGGGCACAGGTAGTGGGCTCGGGGGTTTTCATAGGTGCAGGATGGGGCATATTAGTATTCCAGATCATGATAAAAATCTGAGCAAAGTTACTTAAGTGGCAAAAAGTCTGTTGTAACAGGTAAGTGGAAGCATTCACTGGAAGATGATCATAGCAATGAAGTCTGAAAGATGATAAAGGTCTTTGAATATCATTCCAAGGAGTTTGGAATTTGTTCTATTGTTAATGAGACATCATTAGAGGTTTCACAATGGAACTGGCATGATTTGACTTGGTTTATGGAGGATGACTCTGGCACCAGTGTGAAAGATGAAGTAGAAAGGCAAGAAAATGAAATAAAAGAGATGAGTTAGGAAGCTATAGTAGTAGCCAAGGCAAGAAGTGATAATAATCATAATCATATGATTATGATAATAATCATAATCATAACAACAGCCAGCATTTATTAAGGGATGCCTTACTGTAGGCTAGGCAGTGTTCTGAGCCCTTAGCATGTGTTGACTTATTTAATTCTTAGACAACTTTTATGAGATAGATACTACTAATATCCCCATTTTACAGATGAAGCAACTGAGGCATAGTGAGGTTAAGTACTTGTTCAAGATCATGCAGCTAGTTAGTGGTAGGGCTAGGACTCAAACTCAGGAAGTTTGACTTTAGGTGTGTGTTCTTATCCGTAATGCATAAACCCATGCAGTAGTCATGGGAAGAGATAAGAGGGGACAACTATGAGTGATGAAATTGGTAGGGTTTGGTATTCAATTATATGTGAAAGGAAGGGATCAGCAATGAGTCCAAAATCTCTAGTCTGGATGGTGGAAGTTTGTCATGTCGTTAATTAAATAAGAAAGTTCTAGAGGTTAAGAGATAGGGTGAGCTGATGAGTTCTATAGGTTTGAGGCCAATAAGCTCTTCATTTGGAGATATTCAGTGTAAGTTTGGAAATAGACATATGTACTTCAAGGCTTAAAGACAGAATTCCTATCTTGAAATCATGGAACCTACGAGATGACTCAAGAGACAGAGTAGAAGCAAACCTAAATGCTTAATGGGGCCAAACAGGTAACCTAAATACATAAATTAGATGGCACTGAGTGTGGCAGGGCCTGTGGCTGACCTCAGAGTGAATGCACACCTGCCTAAATTTTCCATTTAACATATCTGGTTGGCCAGGAGATGGGATGGGAGAAGCTGGGATCAGAACCCTGGACCACATTTTACATTGAAGTGTGTACAGAGGAAGATGAGACAGTGAAGAAAACTGAGGATGGGCTGGAGTAATGAGAGAACTGGCAGTCACCCCCTCTGAAGGAGCTTGAGGAAGGACGGCTGGAAGAAGGCGCAGGCTGTGACAAACGTGCGAGTGGGGTGAGGGCTGAGAGGAGGCCCTCAGATGTTTGCCAATGAGCAGATGACCCTGGGAGAATTACTTCTTTGGAATGAAGAGACAGAGAGGTTAGGGAGGGAATAGAGGTAAGAAAATGAAGTCTGTAAGTGGCAAACCTATTTTAGGAGGTTTGCAGTAGAGAAAGGAGAATCAGATGGTAGCTGTTGTGGGGAAGCAGAGTTAAAGGTTCTTATTTGAAGATAGGGGAGTCTTGAGGAATGAATAGAAGGAACCAGAAGGGACACAAGATGATAAAGAAAACTGATCGACAGTGCACAATCTAACAGGAGGTTGGAAGAATGGGCTCAGAATCTTGTTCCTACATCACTGTCAGGAAATGAGGGGGGAGGACGGAAACAGACTGGAAGAAAATGTGAGGTTCAGGATAAGAATGTTGAGGTTGACTTTATGTCAGGTGTCCTCAGTCTTCCTTGTTAAGTAAGAGAGGTCATCTCTTGAACGCCTGGAGGAAGGGCTGATACCAGGGCCTGAGAAAGTGGCCACCTGTGGCCCAGTCCTATGAAGAGTGGGAGAGTGAATCTGGAATGAAAGCGTGGTGGCTCCGGGTGTGGCACACCTTGCAGAGGTCAGTTTAGCTGGCTTTCTAGAGGAGCAGACGTATAAAGTCAGGTGTATTTCCAGCACACCCGAAGTCCCTTGACCGCAGATGCAAAGAACACTGACGCTTGAGTTTATCCAGCATGAGGAGTGGACAAACTGGTTGGAGTGGACATGTGAGGGGGCAGGGCAGGCTGGGTGCTGACAAGTGTGGTAGGGATGGGAGACTCCAGGGCCACCCCGGCTGGGAAAGACAAGGCAAACGGAGCTGGTTTGAATCTGCCGGTCCAGACATCTGTTCATCAGAAATGTCCCCACCCCTTATGTTTAAAGGTCACTTAAAATGTCCAGTAAGTAAAGTTGGATCTAAAGATTTAGTGAAGACAGGTCTATAATGTGATATCTTAATCAGAGAGGCAAAAGTTTTTTTAACTTGCCAATGACCACTTGTGGTGTTGATTTCTGTTTGCTTTCAGAGGTGGGCAAAGACATTTTACAAATATCCACCGTGTCTCTTTTGGAAATAGACATAGTGGAAGTGATGGTGCTTTCCTCACTGGCAGAAACAGGAAGAAGCAGGCTGGAAATATTCACTCTGCCTACAATACTACCACAAGGTAAAGAAGAAACAAGCAACCGGTTCTGTCCAGGGTCCAGATAAGTTCTTGCTAGAATTTTTTATTTATTTTTTTTCTCCATCTAGTAATAGTATTTTTTTTTTCTCTTAGACGTGCAGAGGTAAAATGGCTACCTTTTGTGCATCTTTACAAAGTAAAACTGATGTGGCAACTGAACAATTTGCAATGTAGACTTTCCTCTAGGCCTTGCAACACACATGAATTTGCTTTGTCACCAGAGAAAAGAAATAGCATCAACATCCATTAATGTCAAATTGATTTGTCATTTTGTGAAGTCTCTTATTTTGTAGCTTTAAAAATACATTAAATTCAGATAAATTACAGTGTAGTTACTTTCACTGGTAGTAACTAAATGCTTTGGTAAAATTACCAACTAAATGCTTTGGTAAAATTATAAAGTAAGCTTTCTGGATAAGAAAAAGTCTGAGAAAATAGATACTCTTTGTTTTAGATGACAAATATGTCTGGGTAGCAATTTTGCAAATATATAATTATAGAGTAAATGAGAGCTGAAAACTTCAAAGTACTTTTGTGTTTTAATTAAGAATTTCCACACCATCATGACTTTCTCTTAATGATATGTCTCTAAGTTACTCGATGAAATTAACCAAGGCCTTGCAAAAGATATTTTAATACTCATGTATTTCCGGTGGGGAGACAAGTTGTTCTTAAATCATTTTTATCACCTAATACCCTCTACAATATTAATGGAGCATTTCAAAATTTTATTTTTCTTTTTATAATTGTTCATAATGACTTAAAAAAATAAAATCAATATATGGTGTAAGTGCTCTCTCTTCTTGCCCAAATCTTATAGTTGCTGAAACGTTCACTGATGAAAGAGGGAGGCTGAGAGATGAACTCATCCATAAGTACCTGTACGAGGTGGAGCACACTCTGTCCTCTGCAGTCTTGGACTTTCAAAGTAACCAAATATATGGCTTCTGTGATCAAGTGCCGTACATCTGTAGCTATCTTCTCCCTGAAGAAGTATGCCAAAACTTAAGCATGCTATCACTTATCTTAGCAATCAAGATTGACACATTTATTAATTAGACATGATCCTCTTGACTACTTTAACAGAATAGTCTAGTTAACAAATGGCTTTATTATACTAATATAATCCCCTTCAATTAGATACATATCAGTGTTACTTGTTAATTCATCATAAAATATGTTTGGGGCACCTCACACTCATGTCATATATATCATACTTGTCAGATAAACGTGCAGACAACACAATACTAGTTTAGTGCCTTAAGAACAACAATCTAGTATTAGAAAACCTATTCCACAGATGTCAGGAGCTACAGAATAGATTATTTTCAGTGGACCTTTGCACCTGATCCTTAAGCAAAATTGCACAAAATAATTAAACTATGTTTCTGGCATCCTCACATCGTTGCTCTTTCTTCAAACTTCTCCTGTATTGTGTCACCTCCTGCTGCACATACCTGCCCAGTGCCCTCCTGCTTACTGACCTTTGGCCATTCAGTTTCCCACTGATACCTGTCTTCCTGCCCCAATATCTACCTCCCTTCTTCCCCAAATCTTCAGCCAAAGCCTTTCTCTTCCAGAGTAGCTTGAATTAGACACAGAAATGCAAAGAAGGAAGGAAAAGTTGCTGGTAAGGGGGATTCAAGAAAAGTTTCATGAAGGAAGCAATATTTGAACTGGACTTTGAAGAATAGAGGCCACATTTAGACATGGAGCTTTAGTGTGTGCAATCTTGGGGAGCAGTGCTGATGCGGGGAGGTGGGGCAGGACTGGTGGGGATGGAGTGGAGAATGGCACTGCAGGTAAAAGGAAGGACACATGCAGAGGACTGGAGGTGGGAATGCAGGAGACATATTGCGGGGGGGCGGGGGGAAATAGTGACTACTTTATTTGACTTGAGCATGAGGATATATGAACATGATTAGTAAAAATATAAATTATCAGTGTAATTTGGGATATTTAATGGCAGGCTAACGTATAAAGAAGACTTCCTTAGTTGCAGGAACAAACTTTAATTTGCAAACAAAAATGAGAAACATGATGCAAACACAGGTGCCCACTTTATCTCATATCGGGTTATTTCCAGTGACAATGTTTGTGGATTTGAATCTGACCGTATATGTATGCACACCTGCAAATCCAAAGGTGCTGCTCACCTGATCTTTCCTTTTCATGTTCTTTAATTGGCAGGAACATAGTGGTGTTTACATTCTTAAACCACACCAAAAAGTGCAAAGCAGACATTATGGACCTGGAATGTTCTATCTATCTTCACATGGATGGTGGCTAATAACAATAGCTAAATGTGGAATTCTGTGTGTCCGAGATGTTTATACTTTGGTAAACTATTTTTTTTAATTATGAGATGTATATATTGAACTCCTATAAGGAACAAAACCATTAGACTGAAATTGAAACTCTTAAGTAAATTGACTCAACTTTTTTTTTAAACCACTGATGGTATTAATGACTTAACATTTTTATGGGTGTTTTTTGTGCCAAGGTTTGCATTTTTGAGGGAGGAAACTCCAATCAGTAGAATGAAATCTGCAAATAAAGAGTGTGGGGCAGGATGAGCTCCAGCCCAGCTTCATCAGCAGCTAGTTTTGTGTCTTGGGTACTCACTGAGCTTCGGGTGCTCACCTGTGAAGTTAGGGAAGCCTCCTGTGCTCTCACCCTTTGGGGTTCTGACAAGGGCCAGTGAGAGCGTATATGGGAAACTGCTTGGGAAACAGTGAATTGCTGTGCAAGCCTGCTATCTCCCTGGCCTGAGGGCCTCCCCTGATGCTTCCTGCAGTGCTGGAAGAGCAGAAGGGAGCGGGCAGGTCCTTTACTGAGTCCTTCTCCATCACTTGCAGACCTCAGTGTCACCAACACTGCTACCATTTCCGATTTCCATTGTCCTCAAACCTCTGAGAAAGTGCAAACAGTTGCTTCTCCCAAAAAGGTGGGAGAATCCTTTTCTAGGGTTTGAGACTGAGTTGTGCTAGCCATCAGTATCATTTAATTCGGCCAGTGATTCTTACCCGGCTTCCTGACCCCCTATATCTGAGGCATTGCCATCACCCTCACGACACATTCCCACCATCCACAGATAAGCTGGGTCCCTGGTTGTGCACATCCCAGCTCATTTTGCTCACCTCTAGAAGAAAGAATATTTAGGATACAATTGGGGAAACGTGTTAACCATATAGGGATAATCTTGAATCCCTTAGAGATTATTTTTAAGTAAATAATTTGCAAACTCTGCTACACCATCTGTTAGTCAAATGAGTTGTAATTGTATGGTATAACTGATGGTGGCCTGCCATGGCAAGACATCAGAGTTGTTCTGGGTGATTCTATTACCTATGCTCCCATGCAAAACACTTCATATATGAGGTTATTTCTTTACTGTTTGTAAAAGCAATTTAATGTTCATCAACAATAGAACTTAAATAAATTATGGTACATAATCAGTACATAAGTAAAATACGGGATATTATGCAGCTCTAACACAGAATGAGGAAATCTTCACATAACAGTAGGGAAAGTGTCCCAAGATATATTGATTGTTAAGGGGAAAAGCAATGTGCATAATATATTATTATGTTATAATTTACATAAGTAAAATTTATATTTGTATAAAAATTTGTTTACATGAGCATTAAAACCTGTGACAGGATATTGAAGGTACTAATTACATGGATTGCCTTTGGGTATTGGGGCATGGGGGCAGGAAGGAGATTTCATGGTATACTTTGTAGATTTTGAACTTTGAAACATTTGAATGTATTGCCTATTCAAAAATTAAATTTTAAAAAAGGCATCGTGGTAGAGAACCAACGTGACACAGAGATCCCAGTTTTTAGTCAAGGAACTTAAACTGTTGTCCTATGTACCAAATTGATGATGTGTTTTGTTTGAGTTCCAATTTAACTCATCTAATTAGCATCCCCCCGCCCCCGGGCAGGTTATCTCTCATTCTTCTCAGTGCCCATCACTCTTATCACACTCATCCGCTTTGCATACATATGAAACCTGCCTGATTCTTGAAGGCATCTGAATTTGTTTTCTCTGCTTGCTCAGGCCCCTTCCCCTAACTTTGTGGCTTTCAGCGAGTTCATTCACTTTTTTGTTTCTGATTTCCTGTATTAGGTTGGTTATAAATAATCCCTCTCCTTCCATACTACACAAAGGTGGGACAATAAATCAGTATTGGTGAACGTGGTTTGAACTAGGGATTTTAAGCGCTGTGTATTACCAAAAGGCTACTTCTATACCAACTAAATGCTGTTACCAAATAGAAAAAGATTTATCCACAAGCAAAAGTGCATGTAACCCCATTAGAAAACCATGTGGTAGAATTGCATTTGTAATTTTTCTGCTTTGCTCCTAAAACTATTGAGGAAACATTTGCTCGGTGTCGAAGTCATTCTCACCAGGGGCATGGAATTCAATTGATGAGAATTTCAATGGATGGACAAAGCATTCTGGTGAATGGAAGAGATGATGGTACCCTTGTCTACCTCAAATGGAAGTACGTACAGTACACAGCAAGCAACCCCATGTGGTATGGTGTTTTAAAATACAGATTTTCTTATTTGAGTACAGCGAGGCCAGCATACCAGGAGACGACTGCCATTGAACAGGTAGTTTGTTATACTCACAGGTCCCAAGAGGAGAGGGCATGCCACACTCCAGAGGCCACATGAGAAGCACCAGGGAGGATCAGATGGCTGGGGGAGTAGGGAAAATGTAGACAAAAGCTTCTAGCATAGTTTCCACAGGAAGGATTGGACAGGGGCTTAGGGTTGGCTAGTCTGAATGGTGTCAGTGGGTTCTGGGGTATAGGGGCTGCCCCCAGCTGTCTGGTACTTGGTCCTGGGGTGATTATGATGGGGAAATGGTGGCCATGAGTGTGAAAGTCCACTAGAGGAGGCGGTTGGGGTGTGGCCTCTGGATTGGTTGGTTTGCATTTGGAAGGCATGCTCCAGGGCATGTTGCTTACTGTCTCCAGTGATTGGCTAGCCCTCAGAGGGGTAATCCCCCCAGGGTCAGCAAGGCCCCAGATATCAAAGCATCAAAATACAAAAAATAAAGACATAGTTAAGAAATATGAGTGTGATCAGTGTTATCTACCACAACATCTGTTGGAGGAACATAAGGAATGAGGACAATTCTGAACATTAGATAACTTAAAAAGAAAACTCCTATATATCCCTAAAAAACATGACATATATATGTATGTATGTAAACACACACATTTCCTTTCCTAATTAGATTTTGCTTAGATAATATTAAATTACTTAGACTTTGCTTAGACTAAAATTAAAGTTCTAAATAAACAAACACTACCCAAACATATAGATGATGACCAGGGATTAGAGAGCATGAAGGTGACATGAAAAAGGCAGCCTGGACCTTCAGTGTTGCCTTATCTGCCAATAGACATCATTAATCAACGTGCAGGTCATTTTGTCAAAAATAATATTTGATGTGCCTTCCTGTGATCAAAGCAGTAATAAAACATGACTTTTCTCCATAACATTGTGAAAATGTTAAATATTGTGGAGATTTTATGTCATATTTTGGTAGCCATTTATTTCAAAGACTCATTTGAAGGCTGTATCACCATGCCCGTTTTATACATGGAATCCCGAATGAAACATCAACTTGTATCGCACTGTCAGTTGTAACATATCCTTTAAAGTCAATGAGCCAAAAGCATCACAGGCAACAGCAAACACATGCTGGAGCCCTATTAATAGAAGTAAAGACATTTCAATCTATGCATAATCACCTGACTCTTGACTCAAAGTGAAGCTGGGCTTGAAACCTTGGTCCAGAACGTCAGGGCTTGTGACCTCAGGCATGTGACTACCCCTCCATGTCCTCTATAACACTGTTATTCAAGGTGGGAGTCCACAGTATCTGTGAGCTTGCTAGAAATGCATATTTGGGGGCCCCATCCACTTTTAATGAGAATGTCTGCAGGTGGGGCCCAGAAATCCTGTATAACAAACCCTCCCAGTGATGCTGATGTGCCTAATGTTTGAGCTGCCCTGGTGTATTGAGTGAAAGGAATAATACCTCCCTCAATGCGGGGTGGGACTATGCGGACTGAGTTTGATAATGTGATTGATTTTGTGTGTGAAGCAGCGCTGTGCCTTCTAGTCCATTCCAGGGGCTTAGCCGGTACAGTGGCTCTTCTGCAGTGGCCAGGGGCGGTCCAGAGGACATGTTGGGTAAGGGTACAGAGGGAGGGGTCACCCTAGAGAGGTCAAAAGGCCTGTTGTGTCCTGGAGCCCACGAAAGGGTTTTCCTCTAAGAAGAAGAGTCCTAATAAACATGGTACTGCAGAGAATTGTCCACATATTTCTTTGTATAGAAATGGTTAATCTAGAAATAATACTGCTAAATGTTATTTTTTTTTTAAATTGTGATTTTGTAGCCTTTGTGTTTTCTTTCTTATTAATATAGGCTGTTTGGAGGAAACTTAGCCAGTGAGGCTCTTAAGCATTACCAGCACCTATTAATTTCTCTGAGCAGCACCATGAATGAGGAGAATGAATATTTAATTGCTACACCAAGAGTTTCCTTAGATTTGGGATCGGAAGCAGAACACACAGTTGAGTTCCAATGTAGCTAGCTAGCTACCTTGCTTGCTTGCTTTTTCTTTCTTTGTAAACGAGATAGAAGTTTTCAGTTTGTGGTTTTCTTTAAGCAGATATTTAGTAATGTTTCTTATTATCCAGGTATCACATGATTTTCAAAAAGACTATAAGCTGCATCTGAGAGAAAATACTCAGGGTTTCTCAGCGCAATTGCAAATGTTACATTCTCAGGTCTGATTTAAACCATAGTGTAAGATTCAGTCTTGCCTGAAAAAAATATCTACCAATACTGGTGCTTGGTCAAACCAGTCTATACTTTTATATCGCATACATTAAGAAGTGTCTAGCTAGAGAACAACATTCATTCATTTATCAAATATTTACTAAGTGCCTATAAAGTGCTAGGCTGTGAGGGGCTATAACCATGAACAAGACAGAAAAAGTTTCTGTCTTCATGGAGCTTACATTCGACTGGGGAATGGGGATAGGCAAGGAGAGACAGATAAATAACCCAATAAATAAGAAAAGATTGAATAGTAACAAGTCCTAATCAGTGAATAAAAATAGATTGATGTGATGGTGTTTGGATAGATAGCTTCTCCAAGGAAATGACATTTCAGCTGAGATCTGAGTTAAAAGAGGGTGCCACTGTGCTAAGAGATGGAGGGAGTGAAAGGGTCAAGATATTTAGGACAGGGGGGAAAGACCTTACATGTGATGTGTGAGGACCAGAAAAAAGCCTGTGCATTGAAGTGAGCAAGGGAGAAAATGGTAGGAGATGAGGTCCCTGAAGTGGGAAGTGACCAGGTAATAGGGAAGGGCTTTGTAAACCACGTAAAGAGTTTGGATTTTATTTCATATGTAATGAGAACCTATTGAAGCGTTCTGAGGAGAGGATGAATAATATCTTATTTACCTTTTTTAAATGCTTATTTGTTGCTCTGTGGAGAATGTTTCCTAGGGGTTAGGAGTGGAAGCAGGGAGATGACTCGGTAAGCTATGGCAGAGGTCCAGGTAACAATGATGGAGGTGGTACAGGACAGGAGTGGTAGATTCCTGATGGGTTTCGGAGGTAGAGTTGATAGAACTCATGGATGGATTGGACAGAGAGGGAGGGAAAAGAAAGGACTCAAGCACAACTCCTAGATTTTTTTACTTGAACAACTATGTATAAGATGGTACCATTCATGGAGATGGGGCAGACTGTGGAGAAGGGAGCAGCTATGGGGAGGAAAAGGCAATCTACGTTTTACCCACACTGAGCTTAAGAAGCCTGTAAGACACCCAAGGGGACATTCCAAGGATGCCGTGTGTTAGATGAGCCTTGAGTTCTGGGGAGAGGCCAGGACTGGAGATGTTGATTTAGGAGTCAGGGGCATGTGGATAGAATTTAAAACCATAAAACTAGGTAAGGTCATCATGGAAGAATGATGTGAAACAGAGGGGACCAGGACAGAACAACTCCTAGAAGCCAGGAGAAGATTTCAGGGAAGCACAGGAGTCTGAGAAGGGGCCACCAGGAGAAGTTATAGGAGAACCAGGAGAGTACAACGTCCCCAACTCTCTCAAGACATTTTGTTGCAAAGGGGAACCTAGAAATGGGGTAGTAGCCAAAGGAGAATGTGGTGGTCAGTCGAGGATAGTTTTCCTAAACGAGGAGATACTAGAACATGTTTGGATACTGTTGGGAAAGATCCGGTAAAAGGGAGAAATGGATGACACAGAGGGAGATGGGATTTAAATAAACATGTAAAGACCTCAAGAAGGAGGAAAAGATTAAGATCCTAAGCACAGATGGCAGGGCAGGCCTGGACAGGTAGGAACACTTGATACACAGTAACAGGAAGAAGGCAAGGAGTGATTTGGTGATGGTGTGACCTGTCTGATCATTTCCACTTTCTCAGTGAAACGTGTGGCTAATATAAGGACAGACTGGTAGGAATTAAATTAATAAAACACTACATCTTGAGTAGGCAAAATGTTTGGTATTATAAAAAGAATGCAACAAATGCAAAGGAATTCAAAGCAATTATATGTAGTGGGGTGGAAGGAGAACAACTTGATGAATTCTAAGTTTACAAATGTCTGTCTTCTTCTAAGACACCTCAGAACGTGAAGTTAAGCATTGACTCCTCACTAGAGGAATTAGTCCCAGATGATGCTATGAAGGAAATTCCCTGGATACAACAAAAAAGCCAGCAGGTATGTGTAAAACATGGGATAAGGTTGAAATAACGCTCTGTACATGTGCCAAGTAGATTATTTTCCTGTGGAAACCTACAAGAAAGTTAGAAGGTAGAGTGAGGTAGTACTTGGCAGAGTGTTACGCCATACGTCTTCCTGAACGCAAATATACACCCTAAAGACAACCCAGCCTTTTAGATTAAGTTATATGAGCTTTAAGAATGGTACTTAGGCTAACATGAAACCTGACAAAAGTGTCCAAGTAGGCCAAAGCAGAGAATGAACAGTGATACCCTATTTTGAAGTGAGTTTTCGGGGATGCTTGACTTAAAGAAAGGCATGGCCCAGGAGCAGGAGAAGGGATCTGTGGCTTCAGATGTTCAGGAAGGTGACATAGCTAGCAGGCTGATAATAGCTTGTATTTGGATGTGGCCCGTTTATCTAGTTTCACTCAAGTTCCCAGTAAAAGAGTATACTGGTTTTCTTTTGTCAACTATTCACTATTTAATTTTTTACTACTTAATTATTTTCCCCCCATTGGCCATATAATGGACATCAGTTTCAAGTTGCCTCAATACGGTCACTTAGATAGTAGTAGTTAGATTTAAGCAAGGTATTGCAGTGGTGTTATTTCATATATACTCTATGTTATTAGACTTCAGAAATGTTTCATTTCTGTTTCAAGAGAAGTGCTATCTATGTATCTATCTTATTTATTTATCCATCCATCTATCATCTCTCTCTCTATGATTTATCTTGCTTTAAGTGATAAATTTGTCCCATTTCAGGCCATCGAAAAGGAGGTTAAACTGTTTTCCCAGAAAAGGAAAGAAATAAAAAACAGAATCAAAGTACTTGCTAAAACTGTGAGTGTTGTGATTTTATCCACTACAGTAATACATTTGGCCCTTGGTCTAAAATTACTTTTCAGACTTTATTTCTTTCAACACAGCATGATGAACTATCCCCCTTTTTTTCTCTGCCCATAAGCTCAGTTTTCTGGGGTACTTTAACAGAGTAATACCACACTCTATAAATAGTGGTTTTCTTCTCTGGCTTCCCCCCAAAACCTTGTATTATTTGTTTTGTTAATGCTAATTTTATCAAAGTTATACATTTACATTTTTACAAATTAAATAATACTGAGTAAATATCATTAAAAACAACATTTTTAAAGCAGCACCTGTGCTACTTCTTATCACTCTGATTACTGTACTCCTGAGGTAAGTGTTTTCAATTCTCTGTGCTTTTTTGTTTGGCTATTTATGTCCATCTTTCTAAATAGTCTTCTTAATACTGCTATTTATTGATATTGCTATTTTGACACTAACTATGGGCTTCCTGGTACGTACAACATACGTATAAATTTATACTTAGTATGCACACTATTATAATGATGTAAATATTCTTCAAAGGTGAGCCACATGGTATATTATGATTACATTTCCATTTCTACAACTTTATTTTTCTTGGAACTAATATTTACCTTTGTTTTGGATTAAGCCTTTCCATGTACTTATTACCAACTCATACTCTCTCAAAATGCTGGAAAACTCCTGTCCGTACAGTCAAATACCTGAGGTAACCAATCTGTGAGTGCATTTTTTTCTTTCTTGCAACCTCCCCTCTAGAGCTTTTCATCTTGCAGCTCCAGTCTGTGCACCTTGCTCTGTAGACCAGGCACATGGCTACTGTCCTAGGGACTTCTCTTTCTCTTGTCCACGTTCCTCAGAAATCTTCTCAACTGCCTCCCAAGTTAGAGCCCTATTTCCTGGATCCCATGTGTTTTTCTTTGTTAATGAGCATCTTTCAATAGCTTCCTAAACAGGACTGCTGTGTTGCTCCATGCTTGGGAATGTCCTTTATAATGTAGCTGAGCTTCTGGGCTCCATTTAAATTAATCCAATGTAGATGGGGCCTGCCCCCTAGAGCTGTAAAATGCATTGGCTCTGTTCTTGAGAAAGAGCACATGGGTAGTACATTTTTTGAGATGTGATTTTTCTTAAAATGTCTTTATTGTACTCTCACATCCATTTGATGGTTTGCCTAGGTGTGCAATGATTTCCCCTCGTAATTTTGAAGATTTGCTCCATGGTCTTCTAGCTTTTGGTGTTTGCTTTAGAGAATCCGATACCTTTCATATTCCCAATTCTTTGTAGGTAACCAGATTTTTTTTTTTTTTTTTTTTT